AACAAGATTGGGGAGAGAGGATGAAAAAATGAAACGGTTCCATTTTTTTCAAATAAAAAGGTTATAAATTGGAACATCTTTTAGGGACCGGTCATCAGTTATCGGGAAGAATGGAGTATGGAAGATGGGTCATGAAAATATTGTTACCCCCCCTGTTTTATAGATGACCAGCTACTTCCAGTAATTAGATAATATACATTTAACGTACAATAAGAATAGTCATGCCTGCGAAATATGTTTATTCTTGTGTCAATAAAACACGTATTACCTCTATAAAACACGACCTCTACGGCTAATGATTTCTCACAATTATATCTGAATACCAAATAAGTCAGTTTGAACATATTTCTGTATACGTCTCTCCACCCAGATACACAATGGGAATGAAGATAGCGCCGCTAGGAGACGGCCTCTTACATGGACCAGGTCTGTTGATAAAGTACAAACTGAAAGTAATGACAGCCCGGGCTTTTAATTGAGGGAATATGGTAGGTCCGTGGTTGGGATAGATAATGTGGAAATGTGTGTGACGCAGTTGTTGTGTCTACATCAGACTAATACAAGGCCATACTTGTATCCTAGGTACATATACCAGTCAGTGTATATGACGGCGGTCTGTAAATAATCAAGTCTGGACCAGACAATCCAGTGAATGACATCATGAGCATCGATCAACACAATTGGGATACAATGACATGCATCAGCTAAGTCAGCGAGCCTGACCACCCGATCCCTCTAGTCACCTTTTACAAGCAGAGTCGCCTTTTACAGCAAGCATGGGTTGCTAAAGACCTATTCTAACCCAGATCTTTACGGGTCTTATGTCAGAGAAGATGAAAACACAGCGTTGGGTATTTCAGTGAAACCCAAGAGGTGTCCATACTAAGGGAGGCAACTCTTCACATCATCCTTAAAAGGACGTTATCTCTTTGGCATCGATCCTTTTATCACTAAATTACACATATCTAGAAATAATCGGGGAGAGGAGGTTCTCTTAACCAGACTTCGTCTTGGGCATTGTGGTCTTGGAGCTTATCAAATGTTATTAATAAGGCCGTTTCTACACATTGTACAGTGTGTAATCAGCTTGACAATGTAGCTCATTTTTTATTGCATTGCCAAAAGTATGTTAATCAGCGTAAGGCAATGGTGGAGGCACTAACAGTTCTCAATATTGACTTCTCATTGTCTGGTATTTTCTGTTCTAGGAAAATTGTTCACCATGATGTTCAGAATGTCATTCTCGCTTATATTAAAGCGTGTGGCAGTTTTGATACTTTATAAGATATCCAGGTACTTAGCAAACCTTTATTATGGGCAAGGTGTAAATGGGCCTAGTTGCCCCAACACCTATAAAACATTTTACTAATCAATCAATTGGTGCATCGTGCACCACTGCCACTAAAAAAAAGTAGCTATGAAATTAAAAAAATATATGTCATTACAACAGACAAACGTATGCAGTATTAGTAGATATGTTTATTGATTTATTTAGTACAAAACAATAGAAAATATCAACAAATAACCAAAGTATGTGTAAATCATGTATGAATATCGTGAGATTTTAGCAATTGGTATGTATAAAATTATATCAAACACCAAATTTATTTATTTATCAAATAGTTTCACAACCACTTCTTATAACCAGTGTGCCATCATCGTTTGTTGGGGAATCATTTTGAGGGTAAAGTTTGCATGATTATTGGCAACAAAATTAAGAAAAGGAATGTTCTTTCCTGTCATGCTTTGTGGCCAAGTTGATTTCCTGCTGAAGATAGAGGCTGAGAACATCAAAGTAACTATTGTATCAAGCCTAAGCCCCCATGAACTCTTATCATACCACACTGGTTTCAACAGGAGATATGGCAGGGGTGATATCAAGGGATATCTCCTAGAAGATATATCACTACAGTGAAATTGCATGACAATTCATAGCAGACCCAGTGAAGTCATTGTTAACCTTGATGTCCCAATCAAATGGCATCACTAATCTCTCTGCCACGTAAAAGACTGCTTATTACTGTTTTCACACTGAAAAGGTGGGAAGAATGATTTTGGATGATTAATAGAATCTCACCCTGATGTCTTTTGACATAACATATATCAACACCAGTCAACAAATGTTTAAAACTCCTCTGCAAGTTTTTTTGACTTGTGTTAATATGTTTGATATGAAGAGACATTCGGGTGTAATTATCTATATACATGCTTTATTCTTTCCTAAACAATGGTACAACCACAAACCCTGTCTGAAGCAACCTTTTCTTAGAAAGGAATTCATAAAAGTATAATAAAGCTGATTAACTGTGAAAAATGAAAATTAATTTGTTCACTGCACTTCATTCCATTTTGCTAGATACACCTACATAACAACGCGTTACACACGGCACACGGCACACGGCACTATAGAGAACTGAAAGGTAGAACATGTCTGTATGGATGAAGCATAAATGTAACTTGTCCAGCATGTTTACCCTTATAACTTCACTGTCTTGATAATAAATTAACATTATTATTATTATTATTATTATTATTATCAAATTAACATTATTTCCACTGGCTTCATATTAAATTAACATTATTTCTACTGTCTTCATGAAAGAATAGCATTTGCCTCACATAAACATAACATTATTTCCACTGTCTTCACATTAAATTAACATTATTTCCACTATCTTCATGTAAGATTAGCATTTGCCTCACATAAACATAACATTATTTCCACTGTCTTCACATTAAATTAACATTATTTCCACTGTCTTCATGTAAGAATAGCATGAACCTTACAGTGAACCTTTGTCATATACAGCTGGAAATTGGTTAACAAGATTCCTCACTGGTTTGAAAAAACAACAGTTGATCAATTACTTATCCAATGAATGAAAGCTTCATTCCTCCTGTTTTCTTCATGTAAAAAACAAAACAAGGAATAGCAGAAATTCTGTTTTGATATTGTCCTGTACTCAACACAAACACTAAGAAACATTGCAACAGTAGCAGGCCTAAAAACCTTGTCTGTATATCAGACTGTTTTGGAACAAGTATAAGCTATTCCTTATCCCCAACATGTGCACTAAAATGATAAATAAAAGTTCAGATCTGTTAATTAATATCACATCAACATTCCTGAAATGTAATTGTGAAACATTTCTTTAAGTATTGTGTTTATCGTATTTGTCAGTCTCATTCCAATCAAACCAGTTACTGTCTGATTCCTCTCTGCTCAAGATGTGAAGCCACCTTCATAGACGGTCAGGTCAGGTGAACACGAAGCTTACTTAGACCACCCAATCAAACATAAGGATCCATGGGTGCTTGTGCTGTTCACATGTCAGTGTTTTGTCTTTCGTCATTTCTCTATCACCTTGAACATTTATTCTTGAAGATGCGAGGTAGAATAGGTCTTCAGCAACCCATGCTTGCCGTAAAAGTTGACTGCATGTCGTATGAGACGACTAACCGGATTGGGTGGTCAGGCTCTCTGACTTGGTTGATGCGTGTCGACTGGGTCACCAGAAATGGGCTTCACCCATTGTACCCATGTTGGGAATCGAACCCGGGTCTTCGGCGTGACGAGCGAATGCTTTAACCACTAGGCTACCCGACCGCCCCTCTCACATCATCAAGCTGGGAGCCATCATGTCGGAGTAACGGGTCTGATTTGAATGAGATTGGGTATTTGATTTGTCAGTTCTCATTACCACATACAGATACATGCATTATATAGAATACAAACATAACTAATGCACAACGTCTAACACAGCTGCAAGCAGTTTCAAAATGATAAACTTATTTTGGCAATCTGAGATATTTAGATGTTTCACCTGACAAATGTGTAGTCCACACAGTGTGTGTGTTCACAGTGACAGCCATGCTACAAGTCAGGGACACCGGTTTATCCCCAAGCCAAGAAAACTCCTCTACTTCTATCCTATTCCTCTGTGTAAGGACTCTTTTACGTGTACCCTGACACGACCTTTGCTGAAAACACACAGCGTAACAGCAGTTACCTACACAGAATTATTGATCCGGCAATGTAGTAAGCTTTAACCATATGATAAGATAGAAGTCATTAATGGCAACTGTCTCCATCCCTACTCCCCATGTAGCATTGATTAACTTTCATTCAACTTCTGAAAACTCAAATACTCATGACAAAATAATTGTGCTAAAAATATTTATCAAAACCAAATATTCACAACAGCATTAGCACATTTGATTGGATCAGAATAGATTTTGATTCGGTTGGAATCGACCAAAAATGAATCGATTTCTTATTTTGATTTATCTCATTTTAAAATCAATTAGTCAATTCAATAAAAACCTCTCCAAAAACTTTGATAAATAAAAAAAATAATTCATTTACTACTTCAGTTATTTTTTTGGACAAGTTTCATGGACAAATAACTGAAATATAGTCACATTATGCCAATATTGCTATGTCGAACATTTCACCACCAAGCACATAGAATAGTTACACAAACAACAACAACATCCTTGTATGTGTCTTTTAAAGACACCATGGAATTACACCACACACAACCACATATCATCATGTAGCACATCTTCCTGAGGCAAGGGAGTTACTTGACTTTAAAAGTCCAGTTTCCACCCTTGCCAAACTAGGCTGGAATTATGAAGTAATATTTTGGCAATGCATAGTCCAATCAAAACCGCATAACGAAATCAACTTTCGGTTCGTAAACTGCTGTGCAGATTTCAGTCAATTACAGGACATGCAAAGCATGTGTACAGAATATTATCTTATTCGTTCATGTTTTTGATCAAGGTGATTATGTGATTTGATGCACTTCGCGAAGTAAGACCTGTCTTATTACAATACAGATCTTGATTATTGATCAGATTATCTTCACTTGGCTCCGCCGTTTTGTTTAAAGCAAATGCAAGTGATATGAGAGCTGGAATCTGATTGGTCAATGGGAGGAACATAGAAAGGATAACTCATAATAGCCACTGGTGGCGCTAAGATCGGGTCCAGATATTCCAGCTAGGACAGAAATAGGACTTTTACAGTCAGTTAACTCCCTTGCCTCAGGAAGATGCATATATCATTGTATATAATCAGCATATAAACGCAGTTAAGTAATACATGAACACAGGTAAGTACTCGTAAAATAATGGAATGTAACATAAACCATATAAAAATAACTTTCTATGTCACCACCTTTAAAAGCTATATATCCTGATAAGTAGAGATATACAGATTATTATTATGATGTTAATACCCATATATATACCCTTGACAATGAGTCAACAATAATAGGTTTAACTCAGGTGGATACCACCCTGCTCTGTGCACCCACTGGAGTCCATACATTAATTATAGACAACGTGTTCCCCCGCTCTTGGCGGTAACACAAACAGTTGATGAATGACAGTTTTGTGTAGTGGCAGATATATAAATATATTGGCAGAAATGTCATTACAATTGTTTTGAATCACTGTATATTTTATACTGAAGATGTTTATCTTGTTTGGTTGTCATTTCAGAAGTATGCTATGCATATTTTTTCTTTAATTGATGTCACCTAACTTTTTTACAAACTGATTTATTCAACACACAGCTACCTGGTTGCTTTGTGCTGACATTACATGTTTGAAAATTACCTACCTTCGTTATTCAGTCATGCTAATACTTACAGGGGATGTTTGCACAACTTAAATTAACCAATACCATCTTTTTATCATACACAATGTTAACAGGACATTTTGGCATTATTCAACAATATGACTAAAATACATAACAAATATAATTGACCAATAAACCTAACAGTACAATTTAAGCATACAAGAGTTATGTCCCCTGATACATATGATTTGATGCAAAAACATTTAGTTGGAATGTCAACATAAAACTTTTATCCTAACAAAAGTGACAGCAAATCTTTACAGATTGACACAGTCTTGCCATCCTGAGATGTTTCGGTTGGTTAAGGATTAAGACGCATGATGCAGATGGTGGTAACTAGAGCAGGCCGTCCCCCATGGTGCAGTCCGTGCGCATCTTCCCATCGCTGCACACGCACACATACCTGGCGTCATCAGTCTCCATGGTGACACAGGTAGTACCCCGGGGACAGGGGCTATTCCTGCAAGGGTTTGTGGGACGCGAACATCCTGGTTCTGAATAGACAAAGAGATACAGTCACAATGGATAAGCATTACAACACATAACTTTTTGTTTTTAACAAACATGAAATACTAATATCCCCCGCCAATACAACATATCCAGTTGTGTGCAAGCCAAGAAATATTGTAAGGTTTTTAAGATCTGCTCCGGAAACGAGCACTACCTCCATTTTCAGTCTAAGTCAAAGTTGTTGCTATGGAAACTCGAAAAAAAATAAAATAATTAAATCCCAAACTATCAAAAGGCACTAGTCTACCAATAGACCTATCTATGTGCCAAATTTGATTCATAAATATTGAATGGTTTTCAAGATCAGCTCCGATCTGATCTGATGTGACATAAATTTACAGCAGGAAGACTACTATGAATCCAAAGTTCTTATTTGATTGGCAATGATAGAAACATCATCCAATAAAATGATAAAACAGAAAGGACTGTTTTGGGTTATCCAAGCAATTCAGTTATACTAGACGTTAAATGTCTAAATATATCACACATTATTGAACCCAGATAACTTATAATTAGTCACTTGGTTGCAAACACAGGTCAGCACTTGTATGTTAGCTGGTTAAACATGGCATATTGTTTTCCTTTTTGCCTCATCCAAGCCAAAATGAACCCACACATTCAACCTTTTATCCTTTCCTGCAATAACGATGAATGTTAGCATTCCATTTACACATGACTACAATATAGCGAAGAAAATTAGAGTGATCTCCCCTTAACAAGTCCTCAAGTCCTCAATAAAGGACTCAATTTTCAATTTGTTTTATTCAATATGTATAAGCCACAGGCCTTTGTGTACAGAACATAATAATACAGACAAGCTGTTAAACATTGGATAATATGTTTCTTTCAACATGAGCTTTAAAAATGTATTTAGCTGAATTAACTTCAAGTCTTGCTGAAGCCCCATACCAGGTCAAAGCCTGACCATTACTGACAAGATCAGGGGTAGAATAGGTCTTCAGCAACCCATGTTTGCCGTAAAAGGCGACTATGCTTGTCGTAACAGGCGACTAACAGGATCAGGTGGTCAGGCTCGCTGACTTGGTTGATGCATGTCATCATATCCAAATGGTGTGGATCGATGCTCATGATATCAATCACTGGATTGTCTGGTCCAGACTTACAGACCGCCGTCATCTAGCTGGAATATTGCTGAGTGCAGCTTTAAACAACAAACCAAACCATTTCTGGTAATACAGTTCCACTATTGTCGACATGTCACATAATGTCAACTTCTATCTGTACATATTCTTGACAGGATGTTACCGTCTCACCTGTGCATGCCGCATCAGAGACAGTGTAGACGACGACCTTTGACATCTGACCGAAGCCCTTCCTGTTCTGTGCCTGCACCTTCACGTAGTATCGCGTGTCGGGGGTCAGGTCCTTGATGACAACAGAGAGTCGGTCTCCCCCTACCTCCTCCATCACCCAGTCCCCCGTCTCTGCATCCTCTGTTGCTGTGTAGAACACCAGGTACCCTGCAGCAGCACAGTTACCATGGAAACACAATATTTAAACAACAGGGTATCATGTAGAACACCAGGTACTCCGCAGCAGCATAGTTGCCATGGTTACATAACATGAAACCTATGGGGCATTAAGTAGAACATCAGGTACCCTGCAGCAGAACAGTTGCTATGGTTACATAACATATAAACTATGGGGTATCATGTAGAACACCAGGTACCCTGCAGCAGCACAGTTACCATGGTAACAACATATAAACTATAGGGCATCATGTAGAACACAAGGTACCTTGCAGCTGCACATTGCCATGGTTACACAATATTTAAACAAAGTGGTGCAAAGTTATATTCTAATGACCTGTACGTTACGCCATGACCGAGTTATCTCCCTTTGTATTCCATACAATATCACTTCCGGTTTCTTTTGACGCCGAGGTATGTTGGTATCTTTGCATCCGTTACATTGTATGCTGAGTATGTATGCAGATCTTATGAGAGTTTTATGTAATTGTGTGACACTGTGGGGAAGTAAGGTTTGGGTAACTGTTGAGAGAGGGTGGCGGATTACAGAGGATTGAACCGATTGTGTGTCTGTGTGTAAGTTCTCATCAGCTGGGTCCATTGACTACAGTGCAGACTTACATAAGTCAAATAAATGTACAGATTGTTTCATCCTGTGTTCCCAGGTGTAATTTCTACAATGGCATCAAGTAGAAAGACCAGGTACCCTGCAGTATTACAGTTACCATGGAAACACATCATTTAACTTTAATGATAGAACACCAGGCAGCATCAATACTTGCGGTACAGCTGACCTACCTGTGATTAAACCATTCGTCTTGGCTGGAGGCTGCCAGGTGACGATTACAGTGCCGTGGTTGTTGTCGGAGACCGCTGTCATGGTAACGTCCTCCGGTGGACCACCAGGTACTACAACAGGATGTAAACATTGTCATGCGACGGTACAGACTGAGATTCCATATATATACCCACCGCCAAAAGAAACATGAACCATAGTAACATATAGAAAAATATGTACTTTAATGACAAAACTAACAATCAGTCATGTGTTACCACATGTGTTTATTCTTATTACCAAAATATTTATCTGCTAACCTAATATGACATCCTAATTTTTTATGCCGAAAAGTTTACGCTCCCTGGTATCCATGTCAAGTCAAAATGAAAACTTGACACTTTTAACCCTACATTGATAAGGGTCAAAGGGAGACTACTCTTCAAACCTTAGAGGCCAAACCTTGTTTAAAGTTTTAACTTTAATCTTTATCAAAGTCACGAACATGATCTAAAAACACATGAATGTCTTTGCACATCACAATTAATGATAGTAAAACACAAAACAATGCCAAATAACAAATTTCAGTACCAGAATTTCCATGTGAAATATGTGAGGTGGGTGTTGGAAAATCCAAGATGGCTATTACTGACGGTATACGGTCTCATATTAGGTCAGTATCCACCATCTTGGATTTTCACTGACGGTATACGGGCTCATGTTGGGTCTGTAATTCTGCTCTCTGATTGGTCAATCTCACTTTGAGGCATAATAAAAAGCTGTATTCTTTCAGTACTTTTCAGTAATTTAGCTTTAAATTGCTCCATCTTATGACCATGGAAAGTGTTATATTGTTATTGTCTGTGATCGACATTCCAATCTGGCGTAGTAGAGGAGTTGGCTCCCTCAACAAAGCACTACAGAATAAGCACACTTGAACTGACACACAATAGCTAACAGATCCTAGGGCAATATATGACGCAACTACCTGCTTCTTTTGTCTTGACTGCCAGCGTCATGCTCCAGGGGCTGCTGACGCCATATCGTATTGACATGACCGACATCTCATACTCCGTGTTGGCCTCCAGACCCATGATCACCACGAACGGGTCGTGAACAGTCAGGTTCTTAAAGTGGGCGTCCAGTGATGGCTTCACACTCTTATACCGAGCTATGTACACGACGTCCTTGTCTTTCGTTCCCTTCTTGTGTGTGTCTTTCCAGGTGAGAAGTGCTGATTCAGCAGTAATCTTCCGCGCCTTCAGACCTACTGGAGGCAATTTATTGTCTACGTCTCTTGTCTCTGGCGAGCAGATCACATCCCCTATAACAGACATAATTGGACATAAAACCTGCAAAGATCCTGGTAAGAACTGGGGCGGTATTCATAAACATTCTTAGAGTGCTAAAGAGGTCTTAAGTCTGAGAAAGTTCTTAGTAATACCAAAAGTTACTCTTAAATCTAAGAATTTTCTTAAGTCATATTCATAAAAACTTTTAGCACAAAGAGTACTCCTAAAGTTAAGAGTACTCAAGAGGGCTTTTAATAACCTAAGAATTTTCTTAGCGAGTTAAGAGTATTCTTAAGAAAATTCTAAGAATGTTTATGAATACCGCGCCCTGGTCTTCAGCAACCCATGCTTGTCATAAAAGGCGACTAACATAGATCAGAGGGTCACTCTTACTGACTTGGTTGAAGCATGTCATCATATCCCAATTGCGTAGATCGATGCTAATGGTGTCAATCACTAGATTGTCTGGACCAGACTTGATTATTTACAGACTGACGTCACATAGTTTGAATATTGCAGAGTGTGACATTAAACAACAAACAACAAACTAAAACTTACATTTCATCAGTCTACTCAATCACCGTGTACTATTATCATAAGACATCTATTCACCCCTAGACACCCACCATGTGATGCACTTATGACACTGTATGAGGAAGCATATGGTTAGTATCTAGCAATAATCCCAGCACTGTTGGGACATAATAATATGGTATGGTCTGAATTACCGGTGCCTGATGTCCTGATCATGGTCGAGCGTGACAGGGGTCCATACCCTTCCTTGTTGCGAGCCTGCATCTTGAAGAAATACTTGGTGCAGGGTGTGAGGTCAGCGATGGTGGTGGACAGTGTGTGACCCACCATGCCCTCCAACACCCACTCCCGCTCCGGCTTCGTATCGTCCGTGGAGTAGTAGATGAGGTAGCCTGCAATGGTGCAACATTACGTGAGACAACATCTACAATATCCTTTGCAGAGTTGTTTCCCTTAGTATCACCAGGATCCGCTGCTCAAGTGTTTGAATCCCAGATTTGCCGTTCCAATGAATGCTTTTTGCTTTCACCACAGTACAATACATCAATGACACATCACTTTGTTTTCCTCCGTTAAGTGACATAACATCTAGCGGACTTCATGACAACTGAAAACTCTTGAAAGCAGCATCTAAGGAATCATTATTTAAAATGTTGCAGCTGGATGTTTATACTGCAACTTTCCATTGAAATTAATGGTGTGTTTCCAAATACATGATTTTACTATTACAGTAAGCTGATAATACTTATATCAAACAGTTTGTATCAGTAAGAATATTACGCTGCAAGGTCTTGCACAACCCCTTGTAACCAAGTTTACCTGTGATGATGCCGTTAGGTATGATTGGAGGCTGCCAGCTGATCAGAGCGGTGTCCCCTTTGTCATCTCCTGCTGTCACGGTGACGTCTGCTGGCGCCGTACCCGGAGCTGGAGACAAAACAGACAACTGGAGTACAATCTATGGAATGGATGCGGATAATATTTGAACATTCATCAGTGAAAACATCCACCCTTTGACAATGAACAGTAAATGATATTAACGCGACTTCTCGGAAAAACAAAAAAGGCTCTCTTAGCCTTGCAACCTGTAAGTCAGGTCATGCTTATGCCTTTTTAACACCTGATCTCATCACTGAGTTTAGTTATCCATTGATTTAATTTTCAGTGCTAATTTGCCTTTTAAGCCCAAAGGGAATCAGTTTCGTCAGTTAATCAAGACTTGATAGATATTTTCATGAACCAAAATTTGTCACTTTTTACCTGCTGCTGAGGTGGTGAAAGCAACAATGTTTGAGAATGGTCCATAACCCTTCCTGTTTCGAGCCTGCACCTTGAAGTAATACGTCTGCTCCGGCTTGACGCTGTTCAAGCGGGTGGACAGATCCTCGCCACCCACCTGCATGGCCGTCCATTCGTCATTGTCCCGTGTTTTATTCGTGGTGTACAGAACGGCATACCCTGGGATGATCATATGAAGCATGTGTTAACAGTTTGGATCTAATATTACATGGTGACGTATTTTCTGACTCAGGGGGGTGTTAGTATCCCCAGTAATGTTAAATGTAGATTTTTACTGATCATCTCACTTTATGCATTTGTAATAAGAATTGTTATCATGGTGACATGCAACGGAAGTGTCATAAACGGTTGTGATTTCGTTTGTCTGCCATTCCGTTCTGGTTCATACTTTTTTTTTATGTAACCAGTGCTGTCCGTGTGCGTGTGTTGACAAACTGCCATGCCTTGCCTATGACTATGAGGATGAACAAACTGCCATTAAATGGTCTGAATAACTGCCGAGGACTTTTTCGTCTTCTTTTCAGGAAGTAACTGTGTGGTTTCCTTTCATAACAAAGGCAAAAATAACATCCTACTACATTCTGGTAATGCTTTACAAACTAGACAGTAGTCCGAGGTAGATGGACAAACCTGTGATGACGCCATTAGCCCTTGTCGGGGGTTGCCAGTTGATAGCGATGGAGTCCGGTCTGTCGCTAAGAACAGTCAGGTCCGTGGGTGGCGTGGTGGGTGCTGCAACAGAATTTAGCCTCCACAGGAAATATATATTGCTTGGGTGAAACTGATCAATATCTCCTAAGGGAAATTGCTACAAAGGAATTGCAGACCATTGTGATGTCATCAGTTACCATGATGTCATAGTCACATGACAGCACTAATCTCTCTGCTACTGAAGCTGTACTATGTAAACTGGTTGTTATGGTTTACAAACAGAAAATGTTGGGAGAGTCATTTTGGATGATGAACAAGATCTTCCTGAGCCTTGTGATATCAAATATATTAACACTCATCGATGAGAGTTTATGGGGCAAGCCTCAGAGTTGACATTAAAGACACTCGGGTGAGATTCTCAATGCAGCCGGGGTCACAGGTGGCCCAGTCATCCTTTGGGCATGCCAGAAACCTATGATTGTGGGTTCAAATCCTGGTTCGCCACGATTATGTTTCTAGGTTTGTCAGCACCATACCCGTGCTCGTGGGTTTCACTGAAGTGGTAAACGTCTAAGACCTGCATCACTTTGGGCTTTCCTCCCACATTAAGCTGACACGCAGCGATATAACTGGAATACTGTTAAAAGCGGCGTTAAACCGAACTCACTCACTCACTCAATACAGCCAACAACTGACAACGGTGTACCGAGCAGACAGAGACAAGCATGGCAAGGACTCTAGCACAAGATACAATCTCATTAAAAATCAGATCTTATAGTTCTCGCTACCGCTACACAAAGAAAGGGAAAGTCACAATCGAAATTGGTTTTCTTATCCTGCAACCTTGAAAACATTAACACGGGGTATTCCAAACAACACTTACCGGCTGTACGTCTATCTCTCACTTCAATGGGATACAGATTTGAAACGGAGGAGACCTTCCATCTCCCCATGGGAAGTACGGCCATACAACATCATCCATCTATTTGACATTCCAGAATCAGGTCAGTTTTCAAATTTTGAGTCAATATTTTTCAAAGCGTTTCCGGGATTGTCACCAGTTTGTAACAAGTGTCGTAAAGTTCGAGAAAGTTGCTTTCTGATTGGCTAACGTTGACTTCTTGTTAGTCATTTCATTGGTCAGTCAATGATTGCGAAAGGTCGTTCTGACCCATAATGGGATGTCCTCAGATCTTTGTTTAGCGGCAGCGAGAACTTAGATCTGTTTTTTTATGAGATTGCTGCTTTGCAGGCTATTCTTGTTTTCTCTGTTATCAGGTCCAGTTATGAAGGGACTTTAATGTTTAGTTTTTAGCGAGAACTAAGATCTGATTTTAATGAGACTGGATCAAGAAAGTTACTTCATGTCAGGGATCTATCTACATCTGTTCAGAGGCAGATATTCAGCCTCATGTCTGAAGCAAATGTCAGCAACAATTCCCGAATTGGAATAGCAAATGTCCCCCCTATTGTGAATCATTACCTTGTAGAGTTGACTTTCGATTAGAACAGGACCAATATAGAGGGAGTGACATTTATGCTCAGTTTAACATTACTGCATTGAATGCCATGTTAACATGGGTAAACTAACTCTGAATTTTTAAAAAATGAGGCCAATGACAGATTGGAATCCAAGATTCCCTGCATGAATCCTCACGTGTGCGTGCCATGTCCTGGTATTTAGTGTTGGTAAACTACAGTCCTGGAAGCTTAATACAAGCTACATGTATTTACTTCGTACAGAAATCGTTCTCTTTTTTAGCATGTTTGCAGTGGCTGGAGATCATACCTATTGCATTTAATCAATTATTATCTAAAAGTTGTCCTTTGATATTTGTAGTTGTATATTCTTATTTGTCTATGCCATCAAAGAGTAAACAAAAATAGCTTGGCAATGTTTATATTTCATTTTCTGATAATGACTCCATAAATAATGAAATATTTAAAATATTTTGCCTATGAGCTACACCTACAGTGAGTGAGTATTGTTTTATGCCACTTAGCAATATTCCAGCAATATCACGGTGAGGAACACCTACACCTACACCTACACCTACACCTACAGCTACAGCTACACCTACACCTACACCTACAGCCATACCTGATGCGTGAGTCCTGACCAGAGACGACATGCTCCATGTGGAGTATTCTCTTCCGTCCATGACCCGAACTGACACCTCGTAGTCCGTGAAGGGCTGGAGGCCATGTATCTGTACGCTGGTGTGCGAGGTGTTCATGTACTGGTACTCATCCTGCTTGTGACTGTAGCGCACCTTATACAAGTAGTTGTCGGGAAGCTGTACCCCGGCCTTCTGGTTGACGTCGCTCCACGCCACAACGATGGAGGACTCGGACTGGGCACTGCCCTGCAGCCCCACTGGTGGAGTGAGTACGCTGTTACGGCTCCATGCTAGAGTGAACACAGTGACAGTGAGATATGCATTGTGAGTGAGTGAGTGAGTGAGTGAGTGAGTGAGTGAGTGAGTGAGTGAGGCAATTAGTATAAGATGGGTGAGTCAATAGTATGGCTGCATCATCAACTTAGTTTGTACATATTTTATTCACACAAAAAAGGTTTCACTTCATCAACTGAAGACATTTGTACATATCTATGGAAAATATAATTTATTATTCATTTTCATGACAAACCAGGATGCTTAGCAAAGGACAACGAGATCATATTTAAACATAATTAAAATTTGGTTCTAAAACATCAGTATGTGTTTTCGTGAGACCAACCTTTCCATGATTAAATGTAACAAATTTTCAATCTACTTTTCACTGGTTCATATTAATTGTAATTATTTCACTATTGTGCCATTATTAACATCCAACACAATGAAAGGCTGCAATTTATGAGATACAGTTTTCCCAGGTCTATGACACAATTCTGCCTTATTTACATATATGTGTGTAACGTGTAAATGTTCATAAATGTCTGGCGCTCCTAGGGAGAAAAGGGTCCAGCATTTTGAGAGCTCATATTTCATTAGCTTTCATCTCAGATTGGTTGTAGTCCCGAAAAAACATACCGGCGTTTAGAAATCCAATGGATCATTATGGCGAGGGATATGAATCTTAGATTTATCCAGCATTGAAACATAACTTGAAGATTTAAAACTGAGTATGATAAACACAGATACTTCAGTAAGTGTTACCATGGTTACAGCACTGTTAGAAGGCAGTCTAGAAAAAATCAGATCTTAGTTCTCGCTACTGCTAAACAAAGATCTGAGGACATCCCATTACAGGTCACGTCAGACCGACCTTGCGTGAACTTTGACCGACCAATGGAATGACCAATCAGAAGGCAGCTTTCTCGTGCTTTACGGCACTAATTTCAAATTGGCGACTACGCTTCAAAACATTTTGACAAATTCTCAATTACAAATTTGAAACCTGAACAAAAGGACATTCTGGAATGGCTTATAGATGGTCTAGATTGTATGGATTCAGTCGTTAAACCCGTAACTATCTTTCGGAATACCCCGTGTAAAAGTTTTCGAGGTTGCATGATTAGAAATCACATTCCGACTGTCACTTTCATGATCTGGTAAGCGACGCTCTGATTGGTCGGATGAAAGGTTTGTTCTGATGTGACGACTAATGGGATGTTTTCAGATTTTTGTTTAGGGGTAGCGAGAACTAAGGTCTGATTTTAATGAGACTGTAATGAGACCCACTTTTGAGTGTCTTGACTGCATCATAGAGAGGCTGTCCCACTCCAATCTTGTTGAAGCCCACCAGTTTCACCACATACTCCGTGTTTGGTTCTGAGGAGGACAAAGATGGCTGACATTAGAATATTTTATTATATTATATATTTATATACCGCATCTATCCAGGTACTAGTATCTGCTCAAATGTTATATTTGTACCCCGACCAGTGGATCCATTTGCATTCAAATTATCATTAACTCCCTGGGGAGTATACAACCCAGGCTGCCTAGTGCAGAGTTTACAGTTTCACATACTTGTATTTTTACATTTAAAAATGTTCTCTTTACAAGGTTTTTGCAGTGCCAAGAAACTACATACATCGAGCACAAGGTTGATCACGGATGAAGGTAGGGATGGGACGAGTCCAAATTTACTACCGGGTACCCAACCCCTATTAACCAACCCTACCCGGGTACCTACTGAAGGTCTCAAGAGTTCGGAACAAAGTGTCTGATTGGGAAATGTTTTACCACAGCCCTGGCCAAAACTATTTAAACGATCTGATCATCACTGAAGATATACAGTGAAGTTGACTGAAGTTGAAGCTTCATCTTTACTCAAACATATACAAGTCAAAGGAGTCTGTGCATCGACAGAAAGAATTGCGAACATTAGCGACTTGTAGTGTAACCACTGAGCTATTGTGAGTTTTTGTCATTAAACAATATATCACATGACTAACCTCGGATCCGTTTAGTAAAGTGGGTACCCGGGTCCTACTCAGAACCCTGTGACCCGAGTACTCGAGTTACCCGTCCCAACCCTAGTTAAAGGGCTACCAGTTTCAATTTGTTCTATGTTCTGAATATTGCTTTTGGTTTTGATCGAATCCATAAACCTGAAAGATTACAAAAATGTCATCAAAATGGCTGCATGAGCCCAGAAGGTGCTGTTCACCTAGTTGATGCATGGTGTACGACATCTGGTGCTTGTCCACCACTGTGCTGTGTGTGTCCGGGATGCCCTTCCCGTAGCTGAGGATGTAGCCGTCGACGAGGTCACTGGCCGGAGGCGGAGCCCAGTCCACCACCACGCTGTTGCTGCTCGGCCTCAGACGCAGATGAGTAGGCCGGGACGGAGCACTGTAGACTTTGTCTGAAATGGATACAAAAACTCAAACTAACTGGAAATAAATAAAACTTCAAATTTTCTAATAATACTACCAGGTACCCATGAATTGCTGGGTGATCAGAGACTCATCTTAAACAAAGACACGTGCCTAAGGAGACAACACATGTGCTACATGTGCTTCAGTGTGGGCCCTAGAAACTCTCAGGAGTCAAGCTGCCGAACGCGGTGACTCATCCAACAATTCTCCGAGACCGACGCTGCTTAACTTATGCACAGGATCACGTGTCACCAGACTTTCGCCTACATCCCCCTGCACTGACATGACATGCAGTGTAAACATACTGTGTGTCCTGATGGTGTCCGAGGGAGGGCTGGCCTGGCTGATGCCGATCTCGTTCTCGGCCCGAACCTGGAACATGTACGATGTCCCTGGCTGCAGATTCTGTACAGTGTACGAGTTCTGTGTGATTTCCTTTGATGCCGTCACCCAGACCTGAACAGTCAACAATATGGCTAAAAAAATAAACAAAGCTTCAACCATGACAACACAAACAAAAATCAAATAATAAACAAATCTACAACCATGACAACACAAACAAACACCAATAAGATACACTGTACACTGATAAATGAAATCTTAACTGAAAATGTACATAATATTTCATAAGAGTATATATAAGACAGCTAAGCGACCAATTGCTAAGAACAATGAAGAACAAAGTGTGGTTAATTTCACGATAATACATTGTTCTATCATGACGTCATGCGCTTGCAAATTGGACAATGTTATTTTTGAGAGGGAAGTGTCCAGTGAGTTGTTCCCCATTGATGTTGTTGGTCCCTGTAAGTGTACATGAGATGTGAAAGTTGTATTGTATCACCTGTAGCATGTGAACAAAAGCTGTAAGTCTCAAGACTTAGGACTTCATCGTAACCCACAGGACAGATATCTATAATTCCTTGTTATTTTCTATTGGGCTAAAAAACAATAATAGTCTTGGTTCTCAGGCACTGCCCGCATCATCATAAAGTTGGCCGCACGTTTCCTTTTTATTTCCATTTTTTTTTAAAACAAAAAATCCTTTAATATTCCAAGTCCAACAGAGAAGTCAAATGCTGTATTCCAGTATTTTACTCATCAAGGACTACATTTTATATGTAGGGAGGCCCTTTCCCAGGTTGATTGTACACAACAGTTTATTTGGTTACATGCTAGTTTGAACAAACAAAAGCAACAAAAAACACACCAACCGCCTGCACTACATATTCAAAGCCATTGCCTGAGAACCAATTCTTTTATTTGTATAAGCCCTAGCAGGCAGAGCCTGAAGTACCATCACAGAGAGGCTCTAGGCACACAATCAGTGACTTCCAGTGTTACAAGGGGCACCGTAATTCACACACCAGAAACCTATGATCGTTGGTTCAAATCCTAGTTCACAAAGATCATGTTTCTAGGTTTGTCAGCACCATACCCGTGCTCGTTGGTTTTCACCAAAGTGGAAAACATCTAAGACCTGTATCACTTCAGGCTTTCCTCCCACATTAAGGACCCCTGAAGATCCGGGGTAGAATAGGTCTTCAGCAACCTATGCTTGCCTTAATAGGCGACTTTTCTTGTCGTAAAAGGCGACTAAAGGGATCAGGTGGTCTGGCTCGTTGACTTTGTTGATGCGTGTCATGGTATCCCAATTGCGTGGATCGATGCTCATGATGTCAATCCCTGGGTTGTCTGGTCCAGACTCGATTATTTACAGACCGCCGTCATATAGCTGGAATATTGCTAAGTGCTGCGTAAAACAACAAACAATCAACAATCCCTCATTAAGCTGACACGCCGTGACATAACTGGAATACTGTTCAAAGCAGCATTTAACCCAACTCACTCCAGTGTCACAACATTTCTATAATGCATTGAGACACACTGATAACCGATATGCAACCATAGATGTTATGAATGATCAAGTTATTAAAAAGTATTTCAAAATGACCCAAATATTCTGCCCAACAGATGACATATAAGTTTGTCAGCTTCTAAACTTTAACATTTGTTGGGCACAGGTAGCCATGTCATCTAAGGTGACACAGTTCGCTGTGCAGACATCTAACATAATTGTCATACTTTGACTCACACAAAGTCATATTTGGTGTTGCTTGACTATTATATTTCTAAATATTGTTTGGCGACCAAAATGGCAGGACTGTAGGGAAGGTACAAACTGATTCATCCATTGGTTCCCCAGTACAAAATATCTGGCAGCATGCCAAATAGCTACAAGATATTAGAACATATTATTCCTGATACAATAATAGTTTCAGAAACAAATTCTCACGATAGTTGCATCAAAATTTGTTTTAGTCATATTGATATTTTTAACTGAATCACAAATAGATCTGGGAGAAAAATGTGTGTTATGCTGAATTCCGGCGTGTTTTAGGACACAAATACACACAATATTGTCACAGTGATGTTTTGGCATAGAATTAATTGTTAACTCCTGTTTGTTCATCTGAAGATACAATGTAGTTCTTCACTATGCACAGTATACAAATTAACAAGTTGTCCCTAAACTAGTACCCAAGAATGGGGTGAGGTGAAATTGGGTTTACGTCGCGTCCAAGATTATTGCACTCATATAGCGACGTGCATGTATGTGTATGTGTTTGTGTAGCTGCTTGTACTAGTCCGGACTGATGCCGATTTATAGTGCTAGCTCACTCAGATACTATGCCGCAGTTTAACATGAATACCCCACTCAGACACAGTATACTGACTCCGAGCCGACTCAGTCCTTGTTTTAGCCCCTTAATGCCGAGCGCCAGACAGGGTAACAACAAGTACCATCTTTTAACGTCTTTTGGTATGACGCGGCCGGGGATCGAACCCCGGACCTTCCACTCTCCGGGCGGACGCTCTACCATTAGACCACGGAGGCGGTCCCCAAGAATGGGGGCTCCATGTGATACTTAGGTGTGCACTCTGTACAAGAAAACAAGAGTATGTTTCAAGGGTTGTCAGCACCATACCCGTCATCTTGGGTTCCACTGTAAACATCACTTCACTTCGCTGGCTTTTCTCACCCAATAAACTGGACTGTACATGTACACCGTGAAATAACTGAAATACTGTTCAAAGCTCAAACTCAACTCACTCACTCACTCACCTGCAGGATGAGGTCTGTACTTACATGCTTCTGGCCAGTGATGCTGAAGTACTCGATGATGTAGCCGAGGAGTTTGTCCTGCTGGGCCCGGGGTCCGGGCTGCCACGTCATCTTCACACTGGTGTCTGTGACGTCAGACTCCATCACCTGCGGCTGTGACGGCGGCTCCGGCAGCCTCAGACTGAACACAGACTCCGTGGAGTCATTCAGTGTTGCCTCTAAACAACAGAAACATGTGTCAATGAACTGCTACTTAAAAAGTTGGGGTGTTTTTAGTAGGAACTCGTATTAATGAACACTTTTAATGGCTTGAAATGTTCCATATCGAAAAAATCTAATGTCATATTTAAAGTCAAATTATCACCGATCTTCAGAGGTGTTGCCCCGAATCAGGCTAAGAGTTCCACGGCAAATGATTTGTCATTATCATTATCATTATGATCATATATCCAACAAATAAATCCTACAAATGATGGTCAAGTATCAATCTGGCCCAAATGAAACCCTTTTACACAGCAGTCATGTTCAGTAATATCACATTTATGTATATTTGTGCTTAAGGAGTAAAGTACAGTTTATAAGGGCGACATGCAATCATGTAGTGCATTGGAACATGATCTCCGTGATGTTCCCCCTTCTACCTAAGTTCCAACTGATCATTTGGCACTTATCCACGTTACATCATGTGGAATATATCACCCCCATAAGTTCGTCACTAAATTTCGGTCATTCCAACCATATTGTAAGTTCCCATCAGCTTTCCTGTCGACCAGGACCTGGGTCATCAACAGGCTACCCGGTCACAGGTGGTTGCCTGTCATATTAAAAGCACCATCTACCCGGTTGCCGGCATGTGCTCTAGTCATGCTGTCCATCCGTCCAGCCAGGCTACCCTGGCAACCAGAGACAAGTAGTCGGGGTCTGAGATCCCTGCTTATGCAGTCTGGCGGGAAACAACGCAATGAGAATCCCCCTGCCAAACGTTTTAGATTTTTTAATAATAAATTGTTTCTGAACCTTATTATATTTTTTTGTTACCCTGCACTCAGCAATATTCCAGCTATATGACGGTTGTCTGTAAATAATCGAGTCTGGAACAGACAATCCAGTGTTTGACATCATGAGCATCGATTCACGCAATTGGGATACCATGACACGCATCAACAAAGTCAGCAAGCATGACCACCCGATCCTGTTAGTCGCCTGCTATGACAAGCATGGGTTGCTGATAACCTATAAAATAAGTGAATCTTTAGAGTACTCCATTAGGATAAATACCCCGGATCCATTTACCACTATAGTGTGATTTTAAGCCAGAATCAAATGACACAAAGATAAAAAATAATATGAAATATGACAATAAGTTAGATGACAATGGTGACGTCACTTCCGAAACACAGCTATGGTGGATAACAGCTCCAGGGTTTTGATCAAAGTAGAATGTTATTTATCATCCAAAACTGGCTCCCACAGGAGATATGGCTTGGGTAAGATCAAGCGATATCTATACTGTAGATATCGCTGCAATGAAATTGCATCACAATGCTTTGCAGACCATTGTGACGTCATTGGTTACCATGACGTCACAATCAAATGACATCGCTAATGGCTCTGCTACTGAAGCTGTTAGCAGTATAGTTTTTACACTTAAGACACTGCTTATTACTTTCTACAAACTGAAAAAGTTGGAAGAATGATGTTGGATGATAAATAAAATCTCACCCTCGTGTCTTTTAATATCAAATATATCAACACTCGTTGATAAAAGTGGAAAAAAATCTTCGGCAAGCCTCAGAGTTTTCCCACTTTTATGAACTCATGTTGATATATTTGATATCAAAAGACACGAGGGTGAGATTCTCTATATAGTGCACAGGACAATGGAGGTTGACCGGATGCAGGACATCACCTACCTGATATGGGCAAGCCATTAGATTTGGAGCCAAACTTGTTTGTTGGTAAGCATTTCTTCATCACCATTTTCACATTCTGACACTCCGATCTGTCCCCTTTCTTCAAGGTCAAGGACCTTGTCTTGACCTGTGTCAAGGAGTCACACTCGGACCATGGACCTTTCTTGTACCTACAGTCCACTGGACGTAATGAAAACATGGGGACAGTTGTTAACATTGCCACTAAGAACAAGTAAATGTTCGTCCAGTTACAGAGATAAACAAAATTTCAAAACAGAGAGAACATTAATGCATTGATATTAGTGAGATTTTAACAATCACAGTTTTACAAGACAAGTAAGATCAGAATCAACCATCCTCAACAATCAAGGGTATGATATCTTTGTTCCATTATCAGAATATGATGAATACCCTTGACACCTAACTTACTTTTGAGTTTGGTTCAGATGAAAAACTGCTAAATATAGCCAACAAAACAAATTACACTGTACTTTCACATTTGTGACAAGTGGTGATATCACCAGAACAACAATTTCCGACATGGGTACCATGTGTGAGGCCATTTCTGGCTCTCTCCGCTGTGATATTGTTGGAATATTGCCAAAAACGGCAAGGAACCAAACTCACTCACTCACTTACACTGAGGGCTTGACGCTGCCATTTTGAACTCACAAGAGTCATATTGATTGGTTAAGGATTTAAAGCTCATAAGTCTAAGCAGTTCTGTTGGTGATAAGAGTTGGACATGGTGACCTCTAGGGCTGGGACGGGTAACTGGGGTACTCGGGTCGGGTGGGTACTGAGTAGGACCCGGGTAGTCCTGTGGGACTGTCACGTGATATATTGTTTAATGACAAAAAATATCTAAAACTCTATGGTTACAATACAAGTCACTAATGTTCCCATTTCTTTCTGACAATGCACCCATTCCTTCTGACTTTTATATGTTTGAATAATGATTAAACTCCATGCAGTAAACTTGCATGACCAGATCATTTTACACATGTATCTAAATACATTTTGCCAGGGCTACGGTCAAACTTTTCCAAATCGGACAGTTTGTACCTATCTCTAAATATCTACAACGGGTACACGGGCAGGGTCGAGTAATAGGGTGGAGGGTACCCGGGTAGTAAATTTGGACTCGTCCCAGCCCTAGTGACCTCACTTCCGAAATAAAGTTCTCATGGCAAATAGACCAAGGGTGTTTATCATAAAACAGATATAATACAGTGGGAATTCCAGGAAGGAATAGGTGTCATGCCAATAAACCACTTTTTAGTGCTTCAGTAAAATCAGTGGGATTATGCAACATTGTTTTCATTTTTTTATTCCCATGTCAACATGTTCAGGGTGGTATACTGAATGAAATGAGACAAAACACATCTTACAATGGTGCTGATGTAGCCGCCATAAAATTTCCGAGTCCCGTGATGGGATTCGAACCACAGACCTTCTGATCCGAGGTCAGACACCTTGTCCACATGACCAAAGAGATTAACCCCGTCAGCAAGCTGATAAGGTAAGGATGTCATCTGTGGGATGACTCCACGTCCTGCTACACTGACATTAGAGTTACCCCCCTTGTCACTGAACAAATTTGAGGAAATCAACAAATCAGACATGACACACTGAATGGAAAATGCCACGAGAAAGAAAAAAGCAACTCAGTTTCTTAGTAATGAATACCTGGAGCTAATTCTGCCCTGAAAGCAGAGAGCCAACAGGAAACACTAACCATTCTTTTTGGAGGGTGTTTTACATTGACGAAACTTCCTTTTCTCTGTTGGGCAAGTTTCTGGCTGTCCAGCCCGGAGTTTGAACAACTTCACTCTGGTGTTGTCTGCCTTGTTGCAGGACCCCCAGCCCGCAAACCGGTACTTGCACTCTACACACAAACATACACGCACAGTTACACAGTGAAACCTCAGGAACTCTAACATACAATACAAATGCTGTGTTAGCCAAGGCAAGGGAGTTAACTGACCAAAAAGGTCCAGTTTCCACCCTTGCAGAATTATGAAATCGACATCTGGTTCAAAATCTGTCGTGCAAATTCAGTCGATTGCATAATTTCCAAAGAATGGGAACAGACAACATAGCATCAGCAGGTATTTTCCAAATCTTTTCATGTTTTTTTTAATCAAGGTGTGCTTACATGATTTGATGCTCTTCTCAAAGTAAGAACCGTTGCTTATACAATATAAATCTTGACTATCGATCAGATCATTTTCAATGGGCAACGTCATTTTATTTGAAGCAAACGTAAGTGATATGAGAGGTGGAATCTGATTGGTCAATAGGAGGGACACAACTAGTAATAGCCACTGGTCGGCACTACCATCGAGCCCAGAAATTCCAGCCTAGTTCGGCAAGGGTGGAAACTGCACTTATACAGGAAGGGCATGCAGTGTGTTTGCATCACACCATAGTGTCAGTATCGTGCTGACGATGAACTTCCTGTCTGGACATCAAGCAACTTATCCTTCTACAATACATTGAGAAAATGGAGTTCAAAGTAACATCGTGAACATGATAAGTAACTGTAGTTGAAAACAGTTGATGCTAGTACCTAGCAAGTGATCAAAAACTGGGTAGGACATGATTAGTTAGCTATTATCATATATTCAGGAGCTATTATTATATATACACCGGTTATCATTATATGTACACAAGCTATTATTATACCCCGCCATGAAGTGGAAGGGCGAAATAGGAATAGGTGCTGTCCATCAATCCTTCTGTCACGTTTCGTTTCCAGAGCAGAACTCAAAAACCATGAGAGATATCTGAACCAAACTTGGCATATAGATAGGTGTAGTGGAGAACTGGTGCCTATTGATAGTTTGGGATTTTTGAAAAAAGACTTTTCAAGTTTCCATAGCAATGACTTGGACGTATTATATATACACAGAGATTAACAAAAACATAAAACATTGGTACCAAAACATTGCATTGACAGAATAAAGGGGCTGAACTCCATGTCTACTCTGTCTTATTGTTACCATGGTTACTACACTTTCAAAACTGCCACTATAATGTACTAACTGTAGTCATACAACAGTATCATTGTATCAGAAAAACAGATAAAAATTCCTGTTACCATGGATACTCGCAATCAGTTCATCCCCAGAAACAAATGCATACGTATTACTCACTCATGGAATTACAGGATTCTGTTATGTTCTTGGTCTGGGGACAGCTATCTCCACCTTTCTTGAGAGCCAGCGTCTTGACCTGAGTGTTGGTGGCAAGGTCACACACTCCAACATGGCCCTTCTTGTAATACTTGCAGTTCGGATACTTCTCAACTAGCAACAGTAGAATTAGATGTCATACAATATTATACTGTGGTTCATTTCCCAAATGCAATTAGTCAAACAAAACATCCCTCAATAACATCTCATCATCAAAGTGACTTTCTGCTGAAACATTTCACACATGTATTTGATATGTTGCAAACTGAATCACACATGTAACCAATATGTTGCAAACTGAGTCACACATGTAACTAATATGTTGCAAACTGTATCACACATGTAACTAATATGTTGCAAACTGTATCACCAGTGATCACACATGTAACTAACATTAATTAATCAGTGACTAAATGGTTTGTTTTTTACACTGCATGACGATAGTAACTCTTACCTGTGACAGCATGAATCTAGGAACTGAATCTAAAATGCACCCTCGTATTAAATGCTTTATATATTCTAAGAACGACAACTCTGCATTTGCAGCAATGGTTACTTTCAACTGCAAATATTGTCTCTTAACATGATTAATCTGCATGTTTTCTTTAGGTAAACAATTCTTATTATGTACTAATAAAGAAAGTAAACAGTTATGCTGCCAAACAAGCAGCTTCGGGGCTAAACATACCAAACTGCCATTTAACAGATGTTTGAGGTCTTTGGAGGACAATAAATATCAGATGGAGGATTGTTGCAGTGTCTGTTTGAAGATACAAGTAGCTCCAACTTCTTATTCTCAGAAGGATGTGTACATACTACAAGAATTACCTGTGAGTGGCAAGTTTCTGTTCTTCTTTCTCCCGACGACCTGGTCACTGTTGCCTAGCAGCACCATCAGTACAGCTATCAGGCTGACAGCCTGCATCATGGACGCTTGGTACGGCAATGTTTCTGAAACAATCACTCTGTATGTAGCTTGTGAAACACAATGTTTCTGAAACAATCACTCTGTATGTAGCTTGTGAAACACAATGTTTCTGAAACAATCACTCTGTATGTAGCTTGTGAAACACAATGTTTCTGAAACAATCACTCTGTATGTAGCTTGTGAAACACAAAGTTTCTGAAACAATCACACAGTATATAGCTTGTGAAACAATGTTTCTGAAACAATCACTCTGTATATAGCTTTTGAAACAATCACTCTGTATATAGCTTGTGAAACAATCACTCTGTTTATAGCTTGTGAAACACTTCGTTCTGAAACAATTACTTTGTGTATAGCTTGTGAAACACAATGTTTCTGAAACAATCACTCTGTATGTAGCTTGTGAAACACAAAGTTTCTGAAACAATCACACAGTATATAGCTTGTGAAACAATGTTTCTGAAACAATCACTCTGTATATAGCTTGTGAAACAATCACTCTGTATATAGCTTGTGAAACAATCACTCTGTTTATAGCTTGTGAAACACATCGTTCTGAAACAATTATTTGTGTATAGCTTGTGAAACACAATGTTTCTGAAACAATCACTCTGTATGTAGCTTGTGAAACACAAAGTTTCTGAAACAATCACACAGTATATAGCTTGTGAAACAATGTTTCTGAAACAATCACTCTGTATATAGCTTGTGAAACAATCACTCTGTATATAGCTTGTGAAACAATCACTCTGTTTATAGCTTGTGAAACACATCGTTCTGAAACAATTACTTTGTGTATAGCTTGTGAAACACAATGTTTCTGAAACAATCACTCTGTATATAGCTTGTGAAACAATCACTCTGTTTATAGCTTGTGAAACACATCATTCTGAAACAATCACTCTGTATATAGCTTGTGAAACAATCACTCTGTATATAGCTTGTGAAACAATCACTCTGTTTATAGCTTGTGAAACACATCGTTCTGAAACAATTACTTTGTGTATAGCTTGTGAAACACAATGTTTCTGAAACAATCACTCTGTATGTAGCTTGTGAAACAATCACTCTGTTTATAGCTTGTGAAACACATCGTTCTGAAACAATTACTTTGTGTATAGCTTGTGAAACACAATGTTTCTGAAACAATCACTCTGTATATAGCTTGTGAAACAATCACTCTGTTTATAGCTTGTAAAACGCGACGTTTCTGAAACAATCACACAGTATAGAGCTTGTAAAATGCAATGTTTCTGAAACAATCATTCTACATATAGCTCGTAAAACAAGGAAACTAGTCATGTTAATCAGTGGTCAGGTACAGGCAATCCAAACATTCAATCAAACTATTCAAGTTCAGTATTCTGGCAAATGTTTCATCACAATGTAAGAGTAAGACTAAAAACAGTGTGTTCTTTATTTTCAATACAGTGATCCCTCGCTACAACGCTACTGCTGGAGTCCAAATAATTGATGAGCATTATAGACAATGAGCGGTTTCTGTCGAGCCAGAATGGAACAACAAATAGATATGTATACAAATTACAAGTTAAAAAGATAGGATCTTATTTTGTAACTGACTTCATCTAAACAGACTTGTCACTAATAAACGACATCATTAAAATAAATCAACATCCAGGAAAACCTATTACCTGCTGTCTGGTGATTTAAACTTTATGTACAACACAGGACAGTTCTAACAAAAAACACTTGCCTTCCATGGACTCCCTTCTCAAAGATTACCATCAACCAAAATCACAAAAAAATCCTCATCTTATTCTTTTAGTAAAATTTTATGATTAATCCAAGGACTTGCTGGTTAGCCCTGGGTCTTAAATTGGGGTTCACACGTTTTGATGCCCTCATCTGTTTCATTTCTTTAACTTGGTTACATTTACCCACTACCCTGCTAGCAGTTGAAATGAAAGCTTTCAGGTATATCTATTGGTTTTTTGTTTGCTAAGGTTCACAAGACCATGACCATGACCATGTTTCCCCTTTCGCTACCCCCATCGTGATCTCCCATCTCACAGTAACTGTCCTAATCTAAGGCTTTCTCCTCATTGTCCAAGGCCCTCACATTGCTGCAACACTGACTTACAGGTAGTTGTTGGTTCCTTATGTATTGAATGGTATTCTTTTATCTAGTGATCAGCACCAATTATTTGCCGTTACACACTGTACACTGTTATGGATTTCCTCAAATTTCCTTGTATTAAGCATGTTAAGACATGAGTGAATGAGTGAGTTGTGTTTGACACCGCTTTTAACAGTATTCAAGTTATATCAAGCATGTAAGCTAAATGTGGGAGGAAAGCCCGAAGTAATGCAGGTCTTGGACGTTTACCACTGGTGGAACCCACGAGCACGGGTATGGTGCTGACAAACCTAGAAACATAATCAGGGCGAACCGGGATTCAAATCCACAATCACAGCGAATTGCAATGCCTTAGACGACTGGGTTACCCATGCCCCCGGTATTTATACATGAAATGAGTTGAAATAGCTAACAACCCTTACTCCAAACTAACACCAAAGATCAGTAAAGTGGTAGTGTACTCTAACAATCATGAAGGAGTGTTTGATCAGGGGTACCTAACCCAAATGATCGCAATGGGGTACTTGATGGGAAAGGGGATCCATGGGCTAAGGATAGAGTTGGGGTAACAACCCTAATCCTAATATAACTAACAACTAATGATCAAAGAGCCCCTGAAATTAGCTATGCAAGAAGGGGTCGTTAAAACTAAGAACCTGACTGTCATGCAAGATCAGTGAAGCCACGGCCACAGCTGGCAAACACACAAATAAATGCTACATAGCTGCGCCCGGTATATAGCAGTCATGCCATGTGTTTTCTGAAGTTATCTTTAAACATCTTTCCACGTGGGGAACAGAAAAGACAGATTCATTAAATGCATCTATATTTTAGCTTATGATTATGAAATAGTTAATAAGTCTTTTGTTTGCACTTTATAAAACTTAATATTTTTTATCAATAACACATGACACTGCCACTTTTTGTTTGGTTTAGAAAATTGAGATATTGTCACGTTTGCCATTTTTTTCATCATTATCCAATTTAACACAAACACAGAAAACGTTCTTTTAATCTTGGCGATAGGATAAATGGTGGATCATTCAATTGCGAAAGCTTCAATCCATATTGTGCAAATGTTGGACTAGATCACTGCTAATTTCTACGCACCTGGGTTATCTGACCATCTCAAGAGTTTGTTTACACTTCCGACTTCCGCATTACACAAGGGAAACAACTTTGTTCTTCACACATCAATACTTACCGCTAAAAAAGGGTTTGGACCATTCGCGCGATGCCATTACGTGTAAACATCCCGAAGCATCATACAACCGGGCTATAAAACACGATTACAAACGATTCGGGCGTCTAAGATTCTTTTGAAGATGAATGTAATGTTTAGAAAACGTGTTTGAGGAGAGAAACACTTTCAGGGGGAATATACAAATATATTCTCTTTCTGTTCCCCCTTGCCAGCAGCAACGACGTTTCAATGTTGATGTTATAGAGAATAACCTTCAAGGAACTACAAAGTAACTGTACCGAAAGAAATAATATTCAACATTATTTCACAGCTTTATATTTAAAAACTGTACCAAAAGTCACCGATTTTTGGGAAAACATCTAGTTAGTACTTGTACATAAAAAGTAATTCCTCTGTTGATAAATTATTAACGTTCATCTGCGTCTTGCTTCTATTGCTGTGAAATATTTTGAGTGTATTAAGATGTAATTATTTTTAAAAGGGGCGTGGCATTAACCAGACCCACTGCAATTCGTTAATATGCACTGAGAGTAGTCTAGTGGTTAAAGCGTTCGCTCGTCACGCCGAATACCCGGGCTCGATTCTCTATATGTGAAGCCCATTTTTGGTGTAACCCGCCGTCATAGTGCTGGAATATTGCTAAAAGCGGCGTAAAACCATACTCATTCACTGAGAGGAGAGGCAGAATGCCATGTATGTTCACATATAGAACTGGCTGACGCGTTGGGTTTTATATAACATTTAGAGGTATTTAATCAATAAATAGGGGGCACGGGTGGCACGGGTGGCCCGCGATTCGCTGTACAGAGTTGTGTCCCTTGGGCACACCAGAAACCTATGATTGTGGGTTCGAATCCCGGTTCGCCCCGATTATGTTTCGAGGTTTGCCAGCACCATACCCGTGCTCGTGGGTTTCACCGAGGTTGTAAACGTCTGATGCCTGCATCACTCCGGGCATCTTCCCGAGGCAAGAGAGTTAACTGACTTTAAAAGTCCAGTTTCCACCCTTGCCGAACTAGGCTGGAAATACTGGGTTCGATCGTAGCGCCACCAGTGGCTATTACCAGTTATGTCCCGTCTAAGCCTCGCCTATGGACCAATCAGATTCCACCTCTCGTATTACTTGCGTTTGCTTCACACAAAATGGTGGCGCCCGGTCAGGACGATCTGATCGATAATCAAGATATATATTGTGATAAAACGTGTCTTACATCGCGAAATGCATTAAATCACCTGAGCACCTTGATAAAAAAACTTGAAAAGATTTGGAAAATATCTGCTGATAACGAGTTGGCGGTGCACATGCTTTGCAAATCCTGCAATCGACCGAAATCTGCACGACAGTTAACGAACCGGATTTCTATTTCGGTGCGCGATTTTGATTGGACTATGCATAGACTCGTTAGTCCAGCCAAAATATAACTCCATAATACCAGCCTAGTTCGGCAAGAGTGGAAACTGGACTTTATAGTCAGTTAACTCTCTTGCCCCGGGAAGATGCACTCCGGGCTTTCCTCCCACATTAAGCTGACACGCCGTGATGTAACTGGAATACTGTTAAAAGCGGCGTAAAACCACACTCACTCACTCACTAATCAATAAATATATGAACAACCTCAAATTTAAATTTAAATTTGATTTGGTTTAATTATTATGCTCATCCTCTCACAGTTATAATAACTGGACAATACTTGAAATCTTGTCGGTGATTTCGTTCATATGATTTGAAATTTTTTAAAAAACCATTGTCACTGGAAACATTAACTCGTCTCCCGAAACGACGCCTGACAGAATAGGTCTGAAGAAGCAAACACGCTCGTCGGAAAATCACACGGGTCTTTGGAATGTGTAACCGTCGTTGTTGCATGTGTGTCATTGTATCCCGACATTGTTGCCTGAGCTATCAACCACTCGTTGACCCGGTGTGCACTGCTATATTTGCATGCCAGTGTATATTTCTCCATTCTTATCGTCTGGTGGGTAAACAACCTCCACTCATTTTCAATTGTCTTTTTCTTGTGGGCCTTGGATTTGTTTTGAAAGAGATAATTTGTTCCGAAATGCAGTTTTATTTAACAGTATGAAAAAATAAATAAAAACGCCTTAAACAAAAATGTCAACAACAAATGCTAGGTTTTCATTCTTTCATATATCTGTAGCATCTTTTTCAGAATTTTCAGGCAGGTTTTCGTGCACGGTACTCTACTATTGATCATGTTAACTTTAGAGGCATTAAGTACAAAATATCTCTACAAGCCTAAAGGAAGTGTTTGTTGTGCTTTCATTGATTTTAGAACGGCTTTTGACTATGACAGAATCCAATACGTAAAGGAAGGGTGTTACGGCAAAATGTATACTTTGTTCAAAACTATATATTCATCGGCTCAAGATGACGTAAAAGTTAATTTCTGTAAAACGTCTTTTTCGATGCATCATGTGGGTTAAGGCGAAGGCTGTGGTTTTAGTCCTGTTTCTTATTTTTGTGATCAATAAGCTTGTGTAAGAGATGTGCGCTGCTTGTGACCATGGTATATTTGTCACACGCAATATGAAAGATTTCATTACTTTTATTTGCCGATAATATTATTCTTTTCTCGTACACTGCACGTGGCTTACACGAAACAATTATATTTTTTAAGCACACGCGTATAGTTCGGAAAGTCATTACAAAAATATTTTATTTATTAAGATTTACAAGTATTAAGAAATAGAGGGAAATTATCCCAGTCTGAATCATGGACTGTCATCGACAATGTAAAGACAGTTACTTGTTTTCATCAATTGACGGGGTCATGGGTGGCCTAGTCGTCTAAGCGATTCGCTGTGCAGAGTTGCGTCCCTTGGGCATGCCAGAAACCTATGATCGTGGGTTCGAATCCCAGTTCGCCCCGATTATGTTTCTAGGTTTGTCAGCACCATACCCGTGCTCGTGGGTTTCACCGAAGTGGTGAACGTCCGAGACCTGTATCACTTCGGGCTTTCTTCCCACATTAAGCTGACATATAACTGGATGTAACTGGAATCCTTTTAAAAGCGGCGTTAAACCCAACTCACTCACTCATCATTTTACTTGGAGCTATGTTTTCCATGACCCGAAGCATGGGATTCTTCCTATGCAGGCAGGCAAGGCAGTGGGCCCCGTTTTCCAGTTGTCGATATAAACAGATACATTGATTTCCCTAATGCTTGTAAAACCTTTCACAGTAAAATCTTTCTAATATTGATGTATCCACTTAAAGTGTGGAAGTTCAATATTAGGATTAAATTGAAAAAGTACAAGCATTCTATTTTGAACCTTTTCTAGGAGTGGGTAAGTTGCAACTAACAAAGTTATTCTTGCTGAAACTGGCCTTCATTTTGTATGTTGCAAGTACGAGTCACTAAATACTGGATTAAGATTTTGAGAATGAATGTTTGTTGTTAATCCTGCCAGGGTTATGTTTTGCTTAAATTTTCACCGCTTTTAGCAATATTCTAGCAATATCACGTCGGGGGACACCAGAAATGGGCTTCACACATTGTACCCATGTGGGGAATCGAACACGGCCTTCGGCATGACGAGCGAACGCCTTAACCACTAGGCTACCCCACTGCCGAGTCTTCAGATGGAAATGTAAAGTTAAATGATTGTGCATGTAAGTGTTATTCTGCGTGTTTCACACTCATTCAAATCAGATCTAGCGAAAAATAAGATCTAATTTTAAAGAGATTGTGTATCTGGTTATACCCAGATGTCTGAGATAAGAACATGTCCTGATTTAGAAGTGGTAGAAGGGATATCTATTTCCCCAAAACGTACTAAAATTTGTAATCTTCGACTTTTGTAGTACACTGCAAGTATAAACTCTATTTTACAACCTGAACCTATACATTACTGAACCAGAGACAAAAAGCAATGCGTAAATTTCGAATATCTCTCTTCGCAACTTTGAAGTAAACATAATTCGTAAGAAGCCTTATGTGGATACGGGGACCTTCACACAGTAAAGAGGGGCGGTGGGGTGGCCTAGACTAACATTTAGTCTCTGAAATCTTATATTACACAATATCCTTCTTGACTCTAAAAATAATAAAAATTCCCTATGCTGATTTCAGAATAGAATGAGCTAGCTTGAGCTGGCTAGACTTGCTTTTGTATGCATTTCTAGATTATTATTTTTTCATAAAATAAATATATTCCACGGTCATGGTGCAGGACTAGGGTGGCCTAGTGGTTAAGGCTGTGACACGCTGGGCATGGGGCACAGACATAATGTATCTTCCAAATGTCTCACGTGTCGTGTGGCATGAATAACGAAATAAACTTTACTGATTGATGATTTGTCCTCTTCTCGTGCAATCTTTCCAGGTCTACACCGTTTTCATCTTATATCTCTTCAGCTAACATTGGGGGTAAGTAACATGGTAATCAAACCGTCCATCTACTGTGAAGATCCCGGGTAGAATAAGTCTTCAGCAACCCATGTTTGCCGTAACAGACGACTATGCTTGTCGTAAGGGGCGACTAAGGGGATCGGGTGGTCAAGCTCGCTGACTTGGTTGATGCATGTCATCGTATCCCAATTGCGTAGATCGATGCTCATGATATCAATCACTGAATTGTCTGATCCGATTACTTACAGACCGCCGTCATATAGCTGGAACATTGAGGAGTGCAGCCTTAAACAACAGACAAACATGGCCCATCAGTTTGAACGACTTGCCCCTTTTTCGCGAAAAAATATACAAACATGTACTTGTATTCCTGAAGAGAATGTAAATCATAAATGTATTCCCAATCTACTGTTTGTCATTTTCCATACGGATTTATATTTCCTGCCTATCCCGTGAACGACCTGACCTCAAGTTGTGGGAAAATATGTACAGCTGTAGTATGCAAGCTAATGCCAAGGGAGTCCTTCCCGGGACCTTCCTCTCAACCCTCTGCCCTCATCTTCATGAGGACATCATGCACTCACACAGTTTCTTGTTACTCTGGTCGGCTTCTGCTTTCAGGATGGTGTCTATTAAAAACATGTGTAGTGCATCCTGGTGCATCACAGTTCCAGAACACAGACATATTCTTCTCATATCATTCACGCCAGTGTGTATGTCTGTACCACTCAGCCCTCAGTGCCTAAGACCCACCACCAGTGTTCCAGACAGCTGGCCATAAACATGATATTACTAATGTAAAATGGTTATCTGCTGGGCAAAATGGCTATTATCACCACAAAATGATTGAAATAACAGAAAAGCAGGTAAAATATAAACTCACATATAATGACTGGCATGTAAAATGGTTATTATCACCATGATGAAACGGAGAAGCAGGTAAAATATCATGTAAAATGGTTATTATCACCATGATGAAACGGAGAAGCAGGTAAAATATCAACTCATTAAGTTTTATCATTAGTGGCATGTAAAATGGTTATCTGCTGGTCAAAATGGCTATTATCACCACAAAATGATTGAAATAACAGAAAAGCAGGTAAAATACCAACTCATTATTACTGGCACTTCATTCTTTGACAAAAGAACTGTAAATTCTCCAAAAAAACACCAGACACACTTTAACTATAACACTTTATTTTAAATGTAAACATTATTTTCCAATTAAAACTAATAATTAAAAACCCTAGGGTACACTCTAAAAGGAACAATCTATTATGAAATTTATCACTGTACAAAGTACTCTGACGACATATCTATAAATATAGATAATGCTATATGTGTCTGTAAAACAGAAAATTGAGCTACAAAATAAGAACCAATGGAAGAAAAGTTGTATAATATTCTAAATTTTTATATATTGTATAAATATATACTTTAAAACCTTTGACTGATTTATGATTGTCTTTTTGTGGTTACATGTTGAAATTGCATGTTATTGACTGACACAAAATCTGAAAGGATGTCCTTGAACAGTTGTTACAGTTGGTGTATAATACTCCATAATGCTTGTGGTAAATTGGTGAACATGGAGATATACATTTATAACATGGTGTACAGTGAAGACTTCACTTTTCTGACCTCTGGTAACAACAGATGTTCTTCTCACTGCCACATGCAATGTGCTACACTGGAAGTGGCAATGGCAAAGAACAGGGGCTAAAATATCCGTTTACACTTCACACCCACTCATGACAACTTTCAGTGACAAGACATTATACCTTATTTGGAAGTCACAACCAACATTTGGTGGTAAATGTTACTTAATTTAACAGGTCCTAACTGTTTCAAAGTTAAATTATAGAGTTGAATTAATTATAACCTCTGACATACTTTAACCCCTGAATGATCTTGAAAGGAGTCTCTGCAGATTGAACAAAGGCCAATACGCTACTGTCATGTTTGAGAACATAATAAACACACATATATACCGTGTATGTCTTTGCAGAAATTCATCTTAAAGTAGATAAAACATATTCAGTAAAACAAATCTGATCAGTACTAAAAGGAAATTATTCAACAAGAATTAAAACAAGATCCCTTTTATGCCTAGTATATGTTTGTATTTACTAGAGGTGTGACATAGTTTGATCAACTAGACCAATTCACCCATGAAAAGGCATTTACCTACAACAAATAAGCACCATAAATTTACACAAACAAGAAATATTCCAAATAATTTCCAACTTAAATTCATGATCAGAATCGTTGTATTTCATGATGAACATTAAACATTTCAAACAGTATCGGCAGCTCGAATAAAGTAACATGTCACGTAAGTATAAAACTGAGCGAAGCTAATCAACAAGCACAGTCCTGCTTCATAATGAGAGTCTAAAGACACTTGACAATCCTCAAAACGTGGCACCTACACAAACAGACAAATCAAAATACTGATATAAACAGTATAAATACAGTGACAGAGGTACAAATCCCTCACTACAAGATCATCTAACAAAGGTATTTATGGAAATTGTCTTGTCCAAAAGAAATTCAACTTTATCAATAAGCACATAAAATACAAGGATAAAACCATGCTGGTGCAAATGTTTCATAACTAATACAATATGGCAACTGGGTTAAGACATATTACACTCTTGGGGGAAGTTAAAAGTACGCAAAATACACAAAAGGTGTGCCACAAACTTCTCCATAATTCCCTAGTTTCTTTCTTTATCATACATGTTGAGGTGAAAATTATCCTTGCTGTAAAAGTAAACAACTTGATTCCTCGCGAAGATGATGATTGGTTTGTTTTTATTTTGTTTATTTGTTGTTCAACGCCGCACTCAGCAATATTCGGCGATGAGTGAAGAAGAGTGCTATCTGGTTTTCAATGTTCGCTGTTGGTTGAAAAACAAAAAGAAAACTACCCAGTCAGATTACAAAGGCAAAATCTGGCTCAGGAAGATAGCAATCATTGACATAATATATCACATATGCCATAAAAAACTGTATAGGGTACTTTTAACAGAAAGCCTTTCAAGAGAAGACTGATACTTGGAGGAGCATAATTGCCATGTATATTTGGAAAACAACCTGGAAGAGATCATCATTCAAATAGATCACACTATGTATATATACTCTAAACATGCAATCTTGATTTATTCCATAGGTCAACATTGTCATTTATTATTAAGGTGCATGTTAATGTACACATATTATTATGACAGTGGCTAAATGGATGAAATGTTTAACAAGAGAATAGAAACATTTCGATAAATGTTCAACAATGAAACAGCTGAAAGAAAAGCAGAATATCTCAATACAAACAGGTTGTATAACAACAGAACATCCATATCTAAACTAGAAATGAATACACTTGATCTAAAAGTACAACTAATATTGTATAAAGTACAACTAATCATGTATAAGTGACATCGGAAGCAGCAGCTGACAGATATAATGCTGTTATGGGCAAAGCACCAGGCTGAAACCATTATGGATGACTAGAATACATTCATTTAATAAAAAAAAAAATCTTGAACGAAGCAATGAGGACAAGGCCCTAGTCAAAACAATTCAATTAACATTTCAACCATGATGGGCAGGAGACATTTAATGTTTCTGCAAAGTATGCCATCATGTAGACTACCATAACACAGGAAATGGTTGCCAGTTGCCAGTGGTTTTGATTGAGGGTCGGTGGGGACAAAAAACCCTCATAATTGACTTTTTATGGCCTAATAATACCAAGTCATTATAAGGTGAAACAATGATTGGTTTGTCATCCAATGATGAAAATGAACCCTTTAATGTGGAAGAAGAAACCACTTCACAAATTGAAATATTATAGTGAGTGAGTTGGGTTTAACGCCGTTTTTAACAGTATTCCAGTTATATCACAGCGTGTCAGCTTAATGTGGGAGGAAAGCCAGAAGTGATGCAGGTCTAGAACGTTTACCACCTTGGTGAATACCACGAGCACAGGTATGGTGCTGACAAACCTCGAAACATGATCGGGGCGAACCGGGATTCGAACCCACAATCATAGGTTTCTGGCGTGCCCAAGGGACGCAACTCTGCACAGCGAATCATGGTGCCTTAGACGACTGGGCCACCCGTGCCCCCTGAAATATTATTAGCAACTCCTGTACAAAGTAACGGCTGGCCTAAAATGTTATATGAGATGATAACATATACTCACAAGTTAGACAGTGACAGCAACTATATTGAATAAAACTATTTTGAATACAAACATTGGCTTCTAACATCTCTATTAAGCAAAAATAGCACATTTCAATGACTGAAAGCTATTGCCAATTGTGACCTTAATTGTTATTGCTTATTTAGTGCTAATTATATGCTGTTCCCAAAGTAGATACAGAATGAGGTAAATTCTTTGGCTAACAAGTTTTCTTGTACGTTTGTTCTGACTGTATTTCAGTAAGCTCCTATAGTTTCAGAGTTCATTGGTTGAAACTCTTTCTGTTTACATGTCATCCATGAAGTACAGTATAAACTCCTAGACTGGAAAGCATATTTGCATGTAGAAGTACATGCATAATGATATTGATAAGGGAAATAAAAGATATTATCTTTTTAACACATATTAAGTGAAAGATTTTCTACTAACAAGATGAGTCTTGACAATAAACAAAGATTCTTTTATCACATAACTAGGTAAATATTTGTTTTTTTTAAGCCCTTGCACTAAGATTATGCAGATGAAGAGGAATGCAAAGGTGAAAGCCTATTGGTTGAGCAGCTATAGCAAAGCTGAGCATTCAAAGGGAGATAATACAGTCAAGTCTTTGGCAAATGTCCAGGCCACTGGGGCTTGTACAAAGTGGCTCAACTGCAAGCCTTAGTTTTCACAGCCTTCCTTTCACATTCAGTTCCACCCTGGATTAGCTCCCTTGCTTTCGTCATCACACCATTCATACAGGGAAGGTATTCTCCCCATTTTCCAAAGAAGCATCGCTCTGGAACAAAAATCAATATTCGATATATTTTCAAGAGGTTAGGAAAGTACAGAGGGATATTTATAACTATGTTACTGACTTGGAGAGAAAAGTTCTGTCAGTTAATTTTTAAGTATTCCTCATTTATTAAAATATTTTCATAAGCTGATCTCTTAGGTGTACAAATGTAGCGAGCGAGTGAGTGAGTGAGTGTTGGCTTTAGCGCTGCTTTGAACAGTATTTCAGTACATCATAACGTGTACAAACGTAAAAGAAAATGCAGAATGGAAAATACAGGGCCCTGTTCCACGAGCACAGGTATCAATCTTAGCACTAAGATGATCGAAACTCACACATTTCAACATATACTTCCAACAGTTGTAGCTCTGAGATTGCTTTGTGGGACAGGGCCTAACCCTGATCTCAAGACCTACCTTTCCCATTAGGCCGGCTACAGGATTTAGTCATCGCGATCTCAGGTTTACACACGTTCAAGTCGCCTTTTTTCAGTTTTTTCACACGGGTCCTCTTGTTGGTGGAAGTATCGCACTCACTCCATTCTCCTATATCATACTGGCATTCTACAACAGGAAAACCAATATTGACCACTCACAGAAAAATATTATTCAAACATGGTCCGATATCAAGTGAATCTCACTTACAATAATTACACTGAATAATAACTTCATTGTAGAATTAAGAAATCCTGTAGAAATCCTATTTTTATGAGCAAAGTCAAAGAAACCATAATTTTCCCTCCAAAATCAAAGAGTCCCAACATTTTTAAAAATAGCACAGGATTTACCTTAGATATGGGGGAAATTCCCTTAGTGTTTCTGTTCAAGTTACTCTTAGGACTAACTAAAAGTTGCTCTTAATATGTTTTTTAACCTTTAAACCCCCAACGATTGCTTATGTTTTTGTGTCAGGGATGAAACCATGAATGTTTTCCCTATTTGATCCACTAGTTAGTCACCTATGGTCGTCGCCGTCTTTGTAAAGCTATTCGAGATAAGCTAGAACATCCGACTGGATATCGTGTTTTCACAACAAGGCATGTTTTTTTTCTCCCTGCAGTGTTTTATAGTAAAATAAACAACTCCCACTCGTTGTTTATTTCTTAAATCAGTGTTTTAAGTGTTTATTTCTTAAATAAACATCTGTACCGACATATATAGGTACACAAGAGTTGTTTCACTATCATATTAGTTAAACGTTTCTTGCATAATTGCATGCAAGCACATAACATGAATTGGGTTATGGTGTTTTATTTATTTTACATATATCTGCAACTTATCAGGAGCTCTGCAAACACATATCAATATGGCTTTAATCATCTCTGTCGTTTGCACTTACTTCGCTTGCCTTTTTTACATTTCTTAGTGATCTGTCGCTTTTTTGAACAGAACATATTATCTCCCTTGATTAAAGTATCCATTCTTGTCATAAGATGTGTTGTTGGATCACAGGCAGACCAACCTCCTTTGCGGAACTTGCATGCTGAAAAAGTGAGGTGAGGTGAGCTGAAATGGGGTCTAATATCGCGTTCAAGATTATTTCACCAAAATTGCATGCATGTGTGTGTACATGTCTCTCTTCTTGTACTAGCCCAGACTAATGCCGGATTTATAGTGCTAGCCCACTGAGATAACATGCCACAGTTTAACATGAATATCCTACTCTGACACAGTATATTGACTTCAATCCGACCAGTCCTTATAGTATTCCTTTAATGTCAAGCGCCAGGCAGGGTAACAACAAGTACCATCTTTTAATGTCTTTTGCTATGACGCGGACAGGGATTGAACCACCGACCTTCTGCTCTCCAGACAGACACTCTATCCACTTCGCCAAGAAGATCGTCACCGAGTGAGTGAGTGAGTACACAGCAGTATCAAAATAGGAAACACCAACCAGATGCGTTTATTTTGTATCATTTCAGGACTTGAACATGGGTATTTGGCCTAAGTTTGCACTTAAGCTACACCCTTTCATTTTTCCAAACTTCCATACCTTCAAGAATTGCAAAAAGACCACATAAAATCACCTAAGTTGCTGAAGTTTACTTACGTTTCCTACACTTGCGTTTCAATTCTTTTGTCGGAGCACATTTGTCTGGGTCCCCCTGGACTAGATTCATTGTGCGGGTCATCGTGTTGGTTCGTAGGTCACACTGCTGCCAATCAGCAAACTCATACTTACATTCTGAAAAGAAAAAACAACAAAAAACACTGATTGCTAAACTCGCGTGGAGGCAAGAGATTATGTATAGATTAGTTTGTATGTATACTTGTTTGGGTTTGTTTGTAGTTAACGCCAGTTAGTAATATACCAGCTAAATGACGAGTCTGTAAATAATAGAGTCTGGACCAGACAATCCAGTGACTGATATGAGGATTGATCTACACAATTAGGATATTATGTCATGCATCAACCAAGTCAGCGAGCCAGACCACCCGATCCTGTAAGTCGCTTCTTCAACAAGCACAGTCGCCTATTACGGCAAGCATGGGTTGCTGAAGACTTACTCTGCCCCGGATCTACACTGTTGAAGTCACCTTGAAAGACGTGTGTAGTCGTAGCATCTTACTCCACTTTCCACAGCAGTTGTTTTGGAAGTTTGAATTTTACAGCATACCTGTTTGTGCTATTGTACTATTCACATTAAACAGTTTCCATTTAGTTTTCAAGTGGAAACTATGTAAGGGAAACTTGTAAAAAACATAATGGTGCCTGATAAACTAGGGGAGACAACTCTATTTTATCATGGCATTCTAAATTTTGCGCACTCAGAACCAGTATATTGGAAAACTGAGAGCAGCGCCACATAACTTTACAATGACATGCAAATTAACCCAACAAGTCATCATGCTCACAGCTGGAATATAGCATTATCTCCGGTCAATACGATTTGTTGTTTGTTTGTTTGTTGTTTAACGCCACACTCAGCAATATTCCAGCTATATGACGACTGTAAATAATCAAATCTAGACCAGACAATCCAGTGATTGATATCATGAGCATCGATCCATGCATTTTGGACATAATAACATGCATCATCCATGTCAGCGAGCCTGACCACCCGATCCCGTTAGTTGCCTCTTATGACAAGCATAGTCGCCATTACAACTAGTATGGGTTGCTGAAGACCTATTGTAGCCTAGATCTTAGTCAATATGAAAATCAACTGCTTACATCATAGCTTAACATTCATTCTATCATATGTTTATCAACTTACATCAAGGGCACGGCTCACTGAGGAGACCATGGACACAATATTCATGAATTCCAGTTATCTACCGGTGATGGGTGTGAGTGTGTTGTATAGGACATTCCAACCAAACGTGGAGAAGACTCAATCTGATTGGCTGACAGACAGATGCCTGTCATGGCACTCCCTCATAGTGTTTGGAAGAAACTTTCTCCCAATCTTTTAGAATATTGGTCTACTTCAACTCTGTAGGCTGAGGACATATTCCATCATTATTCAAACTGAGGACCTTTCTAATATTGGTTGTATAATGTCGTAACATGTAAGACAAAGGTGCTCATATGAGTGAGTGAGTGAGTGAGTGAGTGAGTGAGTGAGTGAGTATGTGAGTGAGTGAGTGAGTGAGTATGTGAGTGAGTGAGTGAGTGAGTGAGTGAGTATGTGAGTGAGTGAGTGAGTGAGTGAGTGAGTATGTGAGTGAGTGAGTGAGTGAGTGAGTGAGTGAGTGAGTATGTGAGTGAGTGAGTGAGCGAGTGAGTGAGTGAGTGAGTGAGTATGTGAGTGAGTGAGTGAGTGAGTGAGTGAGTGAGTTGGGATAATGCCACTTTCAACAGCATTTCAGTTATATCACACAATGTTAGCTTAATGTGGGAGGAAAGCCCAAAGTGATGCAATTCTCACTTTGGTGAGCACAGGAATGGTGCCGACAAACCTAGAAACATAATCGGAGTGAACTGGAATTTAAACCCACAATTGTAGGTTTCAGGAGTGTGAATTGCGGTGGCCCTAGACTAACATCTAGTCTCTGAAATGAACATATTTCACAGAAAAATAACAGTTGTTAAATTATCTTAATAAAAATATAATAAAAAGAAGCCCAGAGACTTTCTTCATTTTCAGATACTGAGTGAGTGAGTGAGTATGGTTTAACGCCGCTTTTAGCAATATTCCAGCAATATCTCAGCGGGGGACACCAGAAATGGGCTTCACACACTGTACCCATGTCGGGAATCGAACCCCGGTCTTCGGCGTGACGATCAAACGCTCTAACCACTAACGCTCTAACCGCTACCCGACCGCCCCTTCAGATACTGCAGTAATCTAGACTCACAATGTGTGTAATTCAGGCTCCGCCTGTTTAATATTCACAAACAGACCACTGATCCCTATTTTGTCTTTGACTGGGGTTCAGGGGATCTAGTCTTTGACTGGGGTTCAGGGGATCTAGTCTCCCCCGGGAAGGTGTGTAGTATTCCCATATTACTTACTCGTGTGTATTCTAGCAGCAGACAAAGCCGCTCTACGACGACACTGTCTGGTCACCTTTTTGATTGGATCACATGCATCTCGGTCGCCTCGTTTAAGGGTCATCGTGCGCTGCATCTTGTTAGTAACTGGATCACACTGGCTCCATGGGCCCCGGTTATACTTACAGGCTGCAATCAAGCAATAGTACACACAAAGGGATAAGCACACGCATGTGTAAGTGCCGGGAGGGAAGCATTAGTTCACCCGTAAATCCTGAAGAGAGTGGGGAATCAGTGGGGTTTAATATTATTAAGTCTTGTTATCCATCATTGATTATCAACCGTTTCTTCCAACCAATCAATCAATTATACTCGAAATGGTTCATTTTGTTCTAAATTGTATGCGCGCTCGCACGCACATCTCTTTAATACAAACACTTTCTTATTAGTGAGTGAGTTGGGTTTAACGCCGCTTTTAACAGTATTCCAGTTATATCACGGCGTGTCAGCTTAATGTGGGAGGAAAGCCCGAAGTGATGTAGGTCTCACACGTTTACCACTTCGGTGAAAGCCACGAGCACGGGTATGGTGCTGACAAACCTCGAAACATAATTCTTATTAGCTGTAGTGAAAACATAGCATCTTGTTTTTTGTAACATATACTACTCAAAAGAAGTTAAGAATCGGTTTTCAAGTTATGGCTAAGAATAAAATGGGAATGCCATCGGAACAGATACAAAAACAAAATGTCTCCCCCACTTTGGGAGGGACAGAGGGAGGGAGGAGGAGACATAATTAAGGATAACATTGAGGACAAAGGAGATTCAGTCATTCCCTGCCGCAATCACTGAGTGATAAGTTCCTTTTTCTCAAGTGTGGATAAGTGGTGGGAGGTGAAATGGGGTTTAATGTCGCGTCCAAGATTATTGCACTCATATAGCAACATGCATGCACATGTGTGTGTGCTTGTACTAGTCTGGACTGATGCCGATTTATAGTGCTAGCTCACCGAGATACTATGCCGCAGTTTAACATGAATACCCTACTCAGACATAGTATACCGATTCCGAGCTGACGAGTCCTTGTTTAGCCCCTTAATGCTGAGCACCAGACAGGGTAACAAGTACCATCTTTTTACCGTATTTTGGTAGGATGCGGCCAGGGATCAAACCCTAGACCTTCCGCTCTCCCACTAGACCACAGAGTCGGTCTCGTGTGGATAGTCTAACATATATGTGACCTGTGACCTGTGACCTGTGAATAGGACCACTTGCCACCACAACATAAAGTTATGTATTAGGAAAAATACAAATAATTCTATACAGGAAACCTCTTAATTTCATGAGTTGAAAAGGGGATGAGTACAGGTGTCTACAGCTGAGGGTGGTGAGAATGGGCTGTTTTACTGAATAATAACATGCTCTGAGGTCAGTAAAAACTGAAATTGTTCTGATGGTGATGATAGATATAACAGTAGCATTCATCACTGTTCCTGTGTGGACTGAGTCACCTGCATGTGTGACACTAAGGCTGACAGGTGCCCCTTACCCTTTGCCCCTGGGGGACAGGATGAGTGGGCCAAGGCTGATGGGAGGGTGAAGGAAAACTTTCATGAGGCCATCTGTCAAAGTTTGTAGAGGACTGTGCCATGCCCTACTTCATTTATTGTGGAATATTTATGTGGTCAGATAGTTAAGTATGTCAGTTTATCCCCAGAAGAAGAGGAATACACCTTTTTATGTCCTAGTCAGCAATACTACAGTCATATCACAGCTGCAATATGTAGAGTATACAAAACCTTCCTCAAGCATGGTGATATGGGACTTATTCCACTCCAGAGTCTCCACAAAGACCCTATTTGGAACATTCAATATAGAAACAAAAGAATTTGTACTTCTAAGTAAAATTACATCTGACTTTTTTGGGGTGAAACACTTGGATATGTGTAACAGGCCTATGAAAACTGGGACTCCTCATGCAGATTTTTTTTATGAGTCAAGAGGACAATTCCATGAATCTTCAAGAGAAAATACTTTGATTGCAAAATATTTAATGAAAGTGTATGTTTTGCCTCTATACACCATCTCATTTAACAATAAAGAATTTCATTCAACATTTTTATTCACAGAAGATAAGACAAATACATTAGAACACCATACAGTTACAATATAATATCATTCAGTTTTTGTAAAATCAATTAGCTGTGCAGTGTTACCCAATACTGTCATAACAACCACTAGGATGGTCCCATTGCAGCTGTTTATGATTGTAATGTCAATCAGTCAGTCACTGAAGGGAGAGACACAGAGTTCATATCTGCCATTGTCTATGATGACTGGCAGCGGACTCACAACCTGGTCATGTGTCAACAGTCATGCACCAGAAAGGAGTCTGACAGTAAATACAGAACCTGACCCTTCACTGCCAGTTCAAACAGACCCCAGAAATCATTAGTGAGTGAGTGAGTTGTGTTTAACGCCGCCTTTAACAGTATTCCAGTCATATCACGGCGTGTCAGCTTAATGTGGGAGGAAAGCCCGAAGTGATGCAGGTCTCAGACGTTTACCACTTCGGTGAAACCCACGAGCACGGGTATGGTGCTGACAAACCTAGAAACATGATAGGGGCGAACCCACAATCATAGGTTTCTGGCGCGTCCAAGGGACACAACTCTGCACAGCGAATTGCGGCGCCTTAGACGACTGGGCCACCCGTTATCCCCCAGAAATCATTAAAACCACCATATATTTCCAGTCTGATATCATTACCTTCGGATTTAGGAAATAGATACCAAACCAGATTAAAGAACCTAGCCATGACATACGCCAAACATAGAATTTATATTGAGATAACTGGATAATCATAGCACTGGTCTTCACATTCTGATGTGCTTTAGCGGAGATACAGACAGACCAGTGGCAATGCTAGCTGACAATGACTGAGATATATTTGTACATTCTTCCTCCATGTAATTTATGACATTACTGGCCAATATTGAGGCTGAGAATGCATGATTTGGCCATGCTTACATAGCTTTGACATGTTTATTTGTTTGTTAACTTCTATCAAACCACTTTTACAGAATTCTGGTATCAACTTGTCACAGTGACCTTTTAAAGCTCTCAATGCTACTGTCGAACCCATTTGACAGAGAGTGTCACTAGCCAGCCGCTACCCATTCGACAGGTTTTGACTCCCCAAATAAAACTTGCAATAACTATTTACTAAGTGGGCTTTACATATCATCTAAACTATGTATGGTATACATAAATGCTCATCTTTCTAAATATCAAAACTGAGTATTTTATGTACCTCCAAAAGAAAATTCCGCAAGTCAAAAAAGTATGAGTCATATTTCTCGGAACACAACAACCTATAACGGCCATTGTTGACTTGGGGCACTTCATTTCCACTTTGGGAAAACGGGTTGCATTTAGTGCCACTTAAAACACACAAAGTCCCCAAGCCTCTAGTATTATTATTAGACGTTATATGCACTTCTTGCTTAATACCGCAAGTGAGCCGACCCCCTTAATCCCAAGCGCCACGTAGGATAACAACAAGAACCCTCTTTTAACATATTTTGCTATGATGCCGCCATCGATTGAAGCGACATTTGGCTCTCTGTGCAGATGCTGTGTCCACTAGGCCAAGAGGTGTTCTGTTAAAAGCAGAGGCTGACCCCCCCAAAAAATGTTGTGAAAAGTTGTAGGATAAATGGTACAAATACAGGTACGTTTCATCAGGTTCAGGTGTATGAACTTAAGATGGTGTCCCACTTTAGCCTTTACCGCCAGTGCCACCAGGAACTACTCCCACTGGTGGAAGTGGCAACAGGGGCTTCTGTTGACACTTTATTGGCCCTTTTGAAGAGAGAGGTAAGATAATTCATGATTCCATTACTTTGTCCCATAGTGGTATCATAGAAAGTTTCAGAAGACACAGTACTGACTGCAGGCTGTTTTGAAGGGATCTTTCTTTGTTTATTGATACCGCGTCTATCAGGCAAAGTGTGAGTTGGGGTCTTTGAAAACCGTCCACTTATCACCTGCTTGGGTGATATGGTTGTAGACATGGCATTTATGAAGGGTGAATCTTTGGCATGAGTATATTGCCGAGTATGCTGAGTTCGGGAGTGTTTTGGCTTGGGATGTATTGAGGATGCTGACAGAATGGTTTTGTCAGTTGTATGAGTGGATGGTCTGTGAGAGGGCAGCAAAACAGGTTCAACCGACACTGTTGACTGGAAAGAAGGATCCAGAAATTGAGCAGGTTGGTCTATAGACTGATCCGTCAAATGTTTTCGTTTTCGCAATTTTTTATCTCTTTTTTTATTTTGTTTATCTTTTGGGAGTTTATGTTTCCGAACAGTTTTATCCCTCGGCATTGTTCTCAGGTTATGTTCTGATGAATCGGCAGCATTTGAAGGGCTAAGAGACGAACTGAAGAGGCTGGATTGAAGCTTCGGGTGAATAGTGGGCCCTCTGAGAGTTGCCATTGTACTTGGTCCCCTAGCTTTATGATTTACATGTCTTGAACGCCTGCGCTTAGTTCTCCGTGTGGATCCTGTGGTAAGCAGGAAAGTTGTCCGTCACCATTTATCTTAATCCATGATGCATAGCAACAATTGACATAAATATTATAATTATTTAATCAAATTTTACTCAAAACAATTTCTTTGTATTTTTGCAGATGTGTGGCAAGTGATGAGCAAGCATGATTGCAGTGCAATGGTAAACATCGTAGAATAAATCAAACTGCTTAATGTAATTTGGGACAGTCTGCTATTTGAGTATGTGCAGCATGCATACCTTAACATGCTTGTGAGCTCACATAGTGGCTAATATGTCCTCTTCCAGTTGGACTGGCCTCACTTTCCATGTGTATACATAAAACATCAACACCTGAGAAAACCGGTCTCCATTATCCGTCAAAACAGATTCCATTGGGCATAAAAGGCAAAATAGAGGTGAGCATTATATGAATGGATCATTGAAAATAGGCAATGACAGCAGGAGTTTGGGAAAAATGGTAAGCAGGTGTTGCCCTACCAGTAGCACCAACCACTCACACAATTTGCATAAACATGTGAGTGTTTGTTGCCTGACGCCACACAGCAGTATTTCTGCCATGTAACGGCGGCCTGTAAAGAATTTCCAGAAATTCCAGTGACACGATAGCGTATTTACTGATTTTGTTGAAACTAACAACAATGTATTACTTTTGAATTTTGTCTGCTGTGTACAAGTGTAGCCCTTCTGGGCATAAGGAAGATGTAGTTAAAACCAAACAATGTCGGATTCCAAGACTATGAACATTACAGTGAGTGAGTGAGCTGGGTTTAACGCTGCTTTTAACAGTATTCCAGTTATATCGCAGCGTGTCAGCTTTTAAGGTGGGAGGAAAGCCCAAAGCACTGCAGGTCTCAGACATTTACCATTTTGGTGAAACCCAAATTTTGCTAGAAACATAATCGGCCCGAACAGGGATCTGAACCCACAATCATAGGTTTCTGGTGTGCCCAAGGGACGCAACTCTGCATAGTGAATAGTGGCATCTTAGACGACTGGGCCATCAGTGCCCCCAGGAACATCACAAATCAAGTCGCTGAAAGAACGGATCTAACCACCTTTACAGATAGTGTCAAGTAGAACCCTATCATAGCCAGTAGGAACAGGTGCCCTATACCCAATGCTTGTCACGAGCTCCATCTTCTGAGGTTTAAATGGTAATAATTCAGACCTAGCTGACTGTGTGTCATCACATTGTTTTATGTTGACCTGATCAAATCTGCAGCAAATATTCATAAAACATCCCAAATGGAATAATAAAATTACCGTAAGTTAAATTCTCAATTGTGACTCGGTCAAGGTGACTTGTATTTCACTGAGAACAGGACCAATAAAAAGCAAGTGGTTTAAGTAAACATTATTGCACTGAATACACAATGTTAAGACATCTCTTAAATCAACTTTTTCTAAAATACCTTAAAACAAACAATATTCCCCAGTTTTCCTGCTGAGGGCACTATGTTTTGAGTAAATAAAACCCTGCATCAGCCACTGGCAATGTGGCAATGTGGCAATGCTGATGTATGATAAATGGGTGGCATGGGTTCTTGCATCAATGGTCTTGTGTGACAGAGGTGGAATGGGGTCCTGGATCTGTGGTCTTGTGTGACAGAGAGGTGGAATGGGGTCTTGGATCTGTGGTCTTGTGTGACAGAGAGGTGGAATGGGGTCTTGGATCTGTGGTCTTGTGTGACAGAGAGGTGGAATGGGGTCTTGGATCTGTGGTCTTGTGTGACAGAGGAGGAATGGGGTCTTGGATCTGTGGTCTTGTGTGAGAGGTGGAATGGGGTCTTGTGTGACAGAGGAGGAATGGGGTCTTGGATCTGTGGTCTTGTGTGACAGAGGTGGAATGGGGTCTTGGATCTGTGTTCTTGTGTGACAGAGGTGGAATGGGGTCTTGTGTGACAAAGCTGGAATGGGGTCTTGGATCTGTGGTCTTGTGTGACAGAGAGATGGAATTGGGTCTTGGATCTGTGGTCTTGTATGGCAGAGATATGGAATGGGGTCTTGCATCTGTGGTCTTGTATGACAGAGGAGGAATGGGCTCTTGTATGACAGAGGAGGAATGGGGTCTTGGATCTGTGGTCTTGAATGACAGAGGAAGAATTGGCTCTTGTATGACAGAGGAGGAATGGGGTCTTGGATCTGTGGTCTTGTATGACAGAGAGGAATGGGGTCTTGGGTCTGTGGTCTTGTGTGACAGAGGTGTGGAATGGGGTCTTGGATCTGTGGTCTTGTATGTCAGAGAGCAAGAATGGGGTCTTGGATCTGTGGTCTTGTATGACAGAGGTGGAATGGGGTCATGGATCTGTGGTCTTGTATGACAGAGAGGTGGAATGGGGTCTTGGATCTGTGGTCTTGTATGACAGAGAGGTGGAATGGGGTCATGGATCTGTAGTCTTGTGTGACAGAGGTGGAACGGGGTCTGTCTTGGATCTGTAGTCTTGTGTGACAGAGGTGGAACGGGGTCTGTCTTGGATCTGTGGTCTTGTGTGACAGAGATGTGGAATGGGGTCTTGGATATGTGGTCTTGTATGACAGAGAGCAAGAATGGGGTCTTGGATCTGTGGTCTTGTATGACAGAGGTGGAATGGGGTCATGGATCTGTGGTCTTGTATGACAGAGAGGTGGAATGGGGTCTTGGATCTGTGTTCTTGTATGACAGAGAGGTGAAATGGGTTCTTGGATCTGTGGTCTTGTGTGACAGAGAGGTGGAATTGGGTCTAGGATCTGTGGTCTTGTGTGACAGAGAGGTGGAATGGGGTCATGGGTCTCTGGTCCTGTATGACAGAGGTAGAATGGGGTCTTGGATCTGTGGTCTTGTATGACAGGGGAGGAATTGGGTCCTGGATCTGTGGTCTTGTATGACAGAGAGGAGGAATGGGGTCTTGGATCTGTGGTTTTGTATTACAGAGAGGTGGAATGGGGTCTAGGATCTGTGGTCTTGTGTGACAAAGGTTGAATGAGGTCCTGGATCTGTGGTCCTGTATGACAGTGAGGAGGAATGGGGTCTAGGATCTGTGGTTTTGTATGACAAAGAGGAGGAATGGGGTCTTGGATCTGTGGTCTTGTATGACAGAGAGGAGGAATGGGGTCTTGGATCTGTGGTCTTGTATGACAGGGGAGGTATGGGATCCTGGATCTGTGGTCTTGTATGACAAAGAGGTGGAATGGGGTCTTGGATCTGTGATCTTGTATGACAGGGGTGGAATGGGGTTTTGGATCTGTGGTCTTGTATGACAGGGGAGGAATGGGGTCCTGGATCTGTGGTCTTGTATGACAGAGAGGTGGAATGGGGTCTTGGATCTGTGGTCTTGTGTGACAGAGGTGGAATGGGGTCATGGATCTGTGGTCTTGTATGACAGAGAGGTGGAATGGGGCCTTGGATCTGTGGTCTTGTGTGACAGAGAGATGGAATGGGATGTTGGATCTGTGGTCTTGTATGACAGAGAGGTGGAATGGGGTCTTGGATCTGTGGTCATGTACGACAGAGAGGTGGAATGGGGTCTTGGATCTGTGGTCTTGTATGATAGAGAGGTGGAATGGGGCCTTGGATCTGTGGTCTTGTGTGACAGAGAGATGGAATGGGATGTTGGATATGTGGTCTTGTATGACAGAGAGGTGGAATGGGGTCTTGGATCTGTGGTCATGTATGACAGAGAGGTGGAATGGGGTCTTGGATCTGTGGTCTTGTATGACAGAGGGGTGGAGTGGGGTCTTGGATCTGTGGTTTTGTATTACAGAGAGGTGGATTTGGGTCTAGGATCTGTGGTCTTGTGTGACAAAGGTGGAATGAGGTCCTGGATCTGTGGTCTTACATGACAGTGAGGAGGAATGGGGTCTAGGATCTGTGGTTTTGTATGACAAAGAGGAGGAATGGGGTCTTGGATCTGTGGCCTTGTATGACAGAGAGGTGGAATGGGGTCTTGGATCTGTGGTCTTGTATGACAGGGGAGGTATGGGATCCTGGATCTGTGGTCTTGTATGACAAGGAGGTGCAATGGGGTCTTGGATCTGTGGTCTTGTATGACAGGGGAGGAATGGGGTCCTGGATCTGTGGTCTTGTATGACAGAGAGGAGGAATGGGGTCTTGGATCTGTGGTCTTGTATGACAGAGAGGAGGAAAGGGGTCTTGGATCTGTGGTCTTGTATGACAGGGGAGGTATGGGATCCTGGATCTGTGGTCTTGTATGACAAGGAGGTTCAATGGGGTCTTGGATCTGTGATCTTGTATGACAGGGGTGGAATGGGGTTTTGGATCTGTGGTCTTGTATGACAGGGGAGGAATGGGGTCCTGGATCTGTGGTCTTGTATGACAGAGAGGTGGAATGGGGTCTTGGATCTGTGGTCTTGTGTGACAGAGGTGGAATGGGGTCATGGATCTGTGGTCTTGTATGACAGAGAGGTGGAATGGGGCCTTGGATCTGTGGTCTTGTGTGACAGAGAGATGGAATGGGATGTTGGATCTGTGGTCTTGTATGACAGAGAGGTGGAATGGGGTCTTGGATCTGTGGTCATGTATGACAGAGAGGTGGAATGGGGTCTTGGATCTGTGGTCTTGTTTGAGAGGAGGAATGGGATGTTGGATCTGTGGTCTTGTTTGAGAGGAGGAATGGGATGTTGGATCTGTGGTCTTGTTTGAGAGGAGGAATGGGGTCTTGGATCTGTGGTCTTGTTTGAGAGGAGTAATGGGATGTTGGATGTGATGGTGACATAAGAGGGACCTTGGGTTCATGGGTTATGAAGATCAAACAATGTTCTAAGAGTTCGGGATTAGGGTACTGAAGATATGAAATAGGGTCTAATGGATTTCATTAAATCAGAAATTTTATGCAATTTTTGAACATACGAATCATCTATCATGTAATGTCTGTCCAAAAAATCAAAGCATCCCTATTTTTAGAAAACGATTGACAATTGTTGAACTTCACAACAAAAAGTGACATCAGACACTATGATCATTGGCCTTCGTACAATGTCATCAATTTGCAAATTCCATAGCACTCATGCATATATGCATTGGCAGCAGCACAAGCAGCATTTGTTAGTAGCAAATTAACTGATCAAAGTGACATACCTTTTTTCCTCGACTTCCCTTTCCTGCATCGCCTCAACCGGGTTTTGTTCGGTGGACACTGGTCGCTGCCCTGGGTGAGGGTTAGCGTGCGAGTCATCTTCTTCGTCGCGGGATCACACTCACTCCAGTTTCCTTTCTGGTACTTGCAAGCTAACAAAGAAAAGAGTGAGTGTGTCAATTAAAGTTGCTTAACATCGCTTGAAATACAGCCATGATGTCACTCTGTTGTTTTAACTGTAGAGTATTTGTGACAAAATAAATTTTTACACATCTATTTCTGCAATCAAATTTTAAGCTTATGCATTAATGTACGGTCAACAATGATCAAATTGCACAAAATGCATTGCAGAACGAATATGCAGGCTAGCTGACATGCAGCACGGATATCGAAGCACAACGATTCTCATGTATTACGAATGTACTGCATTAAATGTCAATGCAGCATATTTGTGCTGTATTGATTTTCAGTTATTTTTACTTTCAGGCTGTATTTAAGATCTGCTATGCATTATGTGTTATTTTGATGCTGCGTTTTAAATCAGATAACACACTTGTAAGTGGACATTCGTTACAAATAATGCACGCGCCAGTGTCATCCGTAACAGTCATTACAGCTTTCAAAGAAGGCTGCCTTTAAATATTTAAATCTTAGCCAGACAAACCAGTTGTTAAAGTCTTTTGTTTTACCACCTGTCCTCATCAATGAATTTGATATTATATTTGAACATCACACTGACAACAGATATCAGATATCAGTTTGTTTGTTTGCTGTTTAACTCCTCACTCAGCAGTATGCCAGCTATATGACTGCGGTCTGTAAATAAGCGAGTCTGGACTAGACAATACAGTGATTGATATCATGAGCATCGATCCACGCAATTGGAATACGATGACATACATCAACCAAGTCAGCAGGCCTGACCACCTTGACATCCCGTTAGTCGCCTTTTACAGCAAGAATGGGTTGCTGAAGACCTATTCTACCCAGATATCCGTGGCAGGGATTGAAACTGAAATTGAATCCAGATAGCTTCACATGAATAATTTAATTTAATTTAATAAGAAAATGGAAATGTATTCTAGGTAGGCAGACATTTTTAACACTGTAGCTGTTTGGCCTGATGAGTTTGGTTTAAGTGGGGTCTATGTGTCAAACTCAATCTTTATTGTCTGTTATTTTGATATACTGAAAACCTTTGAAAACGCACAGTGGAATGTGAGTTAGTGACTCTTGATATAACAAGTGATTGGAAGCTTATGTCCAGGTATGACAACGAGAATGAGGATTCAAACCCAGACAACACAACTGCAATGTTCCATCCCTTCAGGCCTTATTACCACGTACTAACGTCACAGTATATATTTAAAATTGAAGTTTGTGGATGAGCATAAAGGGTTGTGAACTACTAGAATCCCACTTTCCGGGACTTGAACCTGGTTCTCTTCACACCACGTGACACAAACTAAACCCTCTCCCTCTGCCCCACTATTTGAGAAACAACAAATCACCAGATGGCTCCCACTATCCCACTATTTCAGCAACAACAAATCACCATCTGACTCCCACTATCCCACTATTTTAGAAACAACAAATCACCATCTGACTCCCACTATCCCACTATTTCAGAAACAATCACCATCTGACTCCCACTATCCCACTATTTTAGAAACAACAAATCACCAGATGACTCCCACTATTTCAGAAACAACAAATAACCATCTGACTCCCACTATCCCACTATTTTAGAAACAACAAATCACCAGATGGCTCCCACTATCCCACTATTTGAGAAACAACAAATAACCATCTGACTCCCACTATCCCACTATTTGAGAAACATCAAATCACCGGATGACTCGCACTATCCCACTATTTCAGAAACAACAAATAACCATCTGACTCCCACTATCCCACTATTTTAGAAACAACAAATCACCAGATGACTCGCACTATCCCAATATTTTAGAAACAACAAATAACCATCTGACTCCCACTATCCCACTATTTGAGAAACAACAAATGACCAGATGACTGGCAGTATCCCACTATTTGAGAAACAACAAATAACCATCTGACTCCCACTATCCCACTATTTGAGAAACAACAAATCACCAGATGACTGGCAGTATCCCACTAGTTCAGAAACAACAAATAACCATCTGACTCCCACTATCGCACTATTTGAGAAACAACAAATAACCATCTGACTCCCACTATCCCAATATTTTAGAAACAACAAATCACCAGATGACTCCCACTATCCCACTATTTGAGAAACAACAAACCACCGGATGACTCCCACTATCCCACTATTTGAGAAACAACAAATAACCATCTGACTCCCACTATCCCAATATTTTAGAAACAACAAATAACCAGATGACTCCCACTATCCCACTATTTGAGAAACAACAAACCACCAGATGACTCCCACTATCCCACTATTTGAGAAACAACAAACCACCGGATGACTACCACTATTTGAGAAACAACAAACCACCGGATGACTACCACTATCCCACTATTTGAGAAACAACAAATCACCATCTGACTCCCACTATCCCACTATTTGAGAAACAACAAATCACCAGATGACTCCCACTTTACCACTATTTGAGAAACAACAAACCACCGGATGACTACCACTATCCCACTATTTGAGAAACAACAAACCACCGGATGACTACCACTATCCCACTATTTGAGAAACAACAAACCACCGGATGACTACCACTATTTGAGAAACAACAAATCACCAGATGACTCCCACTTTACCACTATTTGAGAAACAACAAACCACCGGATGACTACCACTATCCCACTATTTGAGAAACAACAAACCACCGGATGACTTCCACTATCCCACTATTTGAGAAACAACAAACCACCGGATGACTCCCACTGCCCCACTATTTGTTGATAGCCTGTTGATAGATGATTTTGTTTGGGTTTTTTTGTTTAACGCCACACTGAGGAATATTACAGTTATATGACAGCGGTCTGTAAATATGTGAGTCTGGAACAGACAATCCAGTGATTGACATCATGAGCATCGATCCAAGCAATTGGGATGAGATGACATGCATCAACCAAGTCAGCGAGCCTGACCACCTGATCCCGTTAGTCAGCTCTTTCGACAAGCACAGTCCCCTTTTATGGCAAGCATGGGTTGCTGAAGATCTATTCTACCCCGGATCTTCACGGGTCGTTGGAAGACACAACTCTAATTGTCTGATGCTTTTTATTTGGCTCATACAAAACAGGTAGAGCTTTTCAACAACTGTCATGATGTGATTTGGTTACCATGAAACCCTGTACGTACAGGCTGTTTGGATTATCAGGAAAGACTCATTCTAGGCTGTTAGTTACAACATGAATGGCAAGAGTGCATCCCACAAAACCAAAGAAATGCATGCCGGTATGCTTTCTGTTAAAATAGAGAGCTACTGTTTAGTTTTAAATATTGAGATAGCTACGAGATAAATTGCAAAAAACAATAAAGAATAAAGTGTGGTTTATTTCACGAAAAAACATTCGTCCCTCATTGTTTATTCTCCCAGTGGTTAATTTCTTAAATAATAGTATCCCATGAGACAACAAAAGCATCATCACACAAACATTGCAGGTAGTTAACCTCAACACGCGTTGTTACGAGATCTCCACAATCTCATTAAAATCAGATTTTAGTTCTTGCTATCGCTAATCAAAGATCTGAGGACATCCCATTAGGGCCTTTCATCCGACCAATCAAAGTGTCGCTTACCAGATCATGGAAGTGACAGTCGGAATGTGTTTTCTAGTCATGCAACCTCCAAAACATTAATACGGGGTATTCCAAACGACAGTTACGGCCCGTACAACTGATTCCATCAAAATCTCTCGCTTCCATGGGAGAAACATTTGATAGGAAGAGGTGTCCCACAGTACATGGGAAGCACTGCCATACGATCTCAACCCTATATTAGACATTCAGGAATGTTTGTTTGTTTGTTCAGTTTTCAAAATTTTAATCGAGAACAGTGTCAACATATTTTTCAAGCATAGTCTGAAATGGATGTCGCCAGGTTGAAACGAGTGCCATAAAGCTGGAGAAAGCTGCTTTCTAATTGGCTGGTACCCACTTCTTGTTAGTCATTTCAGTGGTCAGTCAACGTTCGTGAAAGGTTGTTCTGACGTGAACCATAATGGGATGTTCTCAGATCTTTGTTTAGCGACAGCGAGAACTTAGATCTGATTTTAATGAGATTGATATGTCCAAGGCTTGCACTTCAATAAATCAACACTAAACCCTGTATCTGCTACCATGGATCTTGCTATTTCAAATTACACACCATTTCTTTTAAAAAAAATGGTTTTCATTGATTTATTACCCACCCTTGTTTTTCATTAGCCAATATGATTTGCTGCTCTACTAAGTGTAACGAACTAATCAGAATGCAAGTAACACACCAGCCTCCATGTTATTTTGGCGATATCAACAACATGGCAGCCAGTGCCACTGATTATAATATTTTGCGATAGATATAAGATATTATAGCTAAAATGGATAGAATTATCATTAAAACGCCCGTATGTTATCAGAAATGAGCGGGCCACTGTAACTTGATAATGCCCTCATATTGCTTGACGACAGGCCATTATCACGCCCGTCGTTAGGTGATGTCATGGGATAGGGAAAGGAGACGTTACGTTCAATAGTGACGTCATCTGGTTTGTTCTATGATGTTTCCATATTTATAAAAGTGGGTCAGTGAAATTCGTGTTGATTGCAGTAAATGTTTCAAAACCCATATTTTTGTTTATTTCTATTTTATAACAAATGCTATCCATTTTAGCTATAATAATGGTAACGCTATTTTTCAGGGCATTCGAGAAGCCCTCGATCTTTTCAACTGCCCTCCTTTGTCGGGCAGTTAACGGAAGACCTCAGGCTTCTGAAAATGATAATGCCCTGAAAAATAGTGTTACCCTTACAGTAAAACTGTTTGACAAACAAAAGAAATCCCCCAAAAGTCTGTTTGATGGAACAGATGTCTTCCTGTCCACCTCGCTTACCTATTTCCTTATCGCAGCGTTTGATTGACCGGTTTTATGTTAATGAAAATTAAGGGCGTGTAATCTCTGATCGCAACAACCACGGGAAAGGATCCAGGCGTTAGTGTAGGTATTTACTGAAATCGTGCCCGAGGATATAGAGAATGGTGTTGTCAAAGCGGACTAGCACAATGGGATGTACCAATATATAGATTCATCGTTTACTGGTGTAGGTATACTTAATTGTGTTTAGGTGTGTGTTGATCATGTTGATGTGTGTAGGTGTGTTTATATATGTGTAGGTATGTTTAGAGGTGAGGTGAGGCGAAATGGGGTTTAACGTCGCGTCCAAGATAGCGACGTGTGTGTGTGTGTGTGTGTGTGTGTGTGTGTGTGTGTGTGTGTGTGTGTGTGTGTGTGTGTGTGTGTGTGTGTGTGTGTGTGTGTGTGTGTGTGTGTGTGTGTGTGTGTGTGTGTGCTTGTACTAGTCCGGACTGATGCCGATTTATAGTGCTAGCTCACTCAGATACCATGCCGCAGTTTAACATGAATACCCCACTCAGACACAGTATACTGACTCCGAGCTGACCAGTCCTTGTTTTAGCCCCTTAATGCCGAGCGCCAGACAGGGTAACAACAAGTACCATCTTTTAACGTCTTTTGGTATGACGCGGTCGGGGATCGAACCCTGGACCTCCCGCTCTCCGGGCGGACGCTCTACCACTAGACCACAGAGGTCCAGGTATATTTAGATGGGCATGGGTGCGTTTATGTGATTAGTTATGTTTAGATGTGTGTAGGTGTGTTAATATGTGTGTAGGTGTTATTAGATGTGTGTTTATATATGTGTAGGTGTGCTTAGATGTGTGTAGGTGTGTTTAGGTGTGTGTAGGTGTGTTTATATATGTGTAGGTATGTTCAGATGTGTGTGGGTGCATTTATGTGATTAGTTATGTTTAGATGTGTGTAGGTGTGTTTAGATGTGTGTAGGTGTGTTTATATATGTGTAGGTATGTTTAGATGTGTGTAGGTGTGTTTAGATGTGTGTAGGTGTTTATATATGTGTAGGTATGTTTAGATGTGTGTGGGTGCGTTTATGTGATTAGTTATGTTTAGATGTGTGGAGGTGTGTTTAGATGTGTGTAGGTGTGTTAATATGTGTGTAGGTGTTTATATATGTGTAGGTATGTTTAGATGTGTGTGGGTGCGTTTATGTGATTTGTTATGTTTAGATGTGTGTAGGTGTGTTAATATGTGTGTAGGTGTGTTAATATGTGTGTAGGTGTTTATATGTGCGTAAATCTATTTGATTGTGTTTAGGTATGTGATACCAGTACATCACAAATTATAACAAACAGTAAGTGCAGAATATTTTTTATTGCAGCAGAGAAGAAAAAGTACTGGCAGACAATTACCTAATCATAAAATACTGATTACCAGGGATATTCAATGCAGGAACATACTGTATTCTATGCTGATGGTTCTATTCCAATTTTTCCATATATTGAAAAAAACAAAAATATAATTTTTTTTACCCAAACACGTTGAAAAATCTTGCTTCAGAAATATTCAGAGCATATTTTTACACTGATTAACAAATTACAAATAATTTCAAAATACATTCAATCAATAAACTAGCAGGTCACAGTTGCAGCCCATGTCTGTTATGTGTCACCGCCCTAAACAGTGTCTTCGAGACACATGTACAGAAACAAATAACTGTCCAAAATAACATTCCTTAACTGAAATACCTAAACCTAACTAATGACCAAAACAAGGGGTTCCCTTTTTTTCTAAATGACAGAATGACGACTATAAAAAGCCAAAAGAAGAGCATGAAAGTAAAGGCACCATGGTTTTATCATTTTCACATGCCTATCCCCACCTCGCGCAACGAATCCTGACTGTCAGCTTTGTTGTCACCCTGTCCGCCATGTTTGCTGTGGCCGCCCTGTCCGCCATGTTTGCTGTGGCCGCCCTGTCCGCCATGTTTTCTGTGGCCACCCTGTCCGCCCTGTTTTCTGTGGCCGCCCTGTCCGCCCTGTTTTCTGTGGCCGCCCTGTCCGCCCTGTTTTCTGTGCCCGCCCTGTCTGCCATGTTTGCTTTTGCCCCCGTGTCCGCCATGCTTGCTGTGGCCCCCATGTCCGCCATGCTTGCTGTGGCCCCCTTGTCCGCCATGCTTGCTGTGTCCATGTTTCCCATGTTTCTTGCATTTCTTTATTTGTGATTTTTCAGGCTCACAGATGTCTTTGTTCCCCGAGGTCAAGTGCTTAACCTTGGTTTTTGTTCCAGTTGTAGGGTCACATTCGCCAAATTCTCCCTTTGAGTATCTGCATTTCCCTATAATAATGATAATCATATCACAATTTGGAAATCAAACATTGATGATTCAACTTCATGGATACAATCTAAAACGTATAATGATCACAAGGTGAGCAACAAATTCACTGAAGTATTTCAGAAACATGAGTAGCAACCCATTAATACTTAAAAAGATTGCAATTTTGCTGTTCAGTTTTTTTGCTCAAAATACCCCCCCCCCCAAAAAAAAAAACAACCCAAAAAAACAAACCAATCATATAATAGATGTTACAAAAACAGGACATGATTCTGATGCATACATAACTCATTTTCCGCAGGCAAGGGTATTAACTGACTGTGAAAGTCCAGTTTCCACCCTTGCCGAACAAGGCTAGAATTTCCAGGCTCAATCGTAGCGCCACCAGTGGCTATTATGAGTTATGTCCCTCCTTTTGACCAATCAGATTCCAAACTCTCATATCACTTGCATTTTCTTCAAACAAAATGGCGGCACCCAGTCAAATCACTTTGATTAAACAAGAGCACCTTGATTAAAAACAGGAAAAGATTTGCAAAATATCTGTCAACGACCCAGTTGGTGGTACACATGCTTTGCAAATCCTGCAGTTGACCGGAATCTGCACCTTGAAATCCTTGTTGCCTAATAACCGGATGTCTAGTTTTTTATGAGATTTTGATTGGACCATACATATACTCGTTAGTCAAAATGTAACTCCGGAATTCCAGCCTACATCGGCAAGGGTAGAAACTGGACTTTTATAGTCAGTTAACGCAATTGCTTGGGAAATTGCTTCGTAAAAATTTACCACAGATTCTCAGACAACATGCCCCGACTTTGTCATGGAACTAAAAATAGATCAAATGACCCTCACCTTTGCATGGATAAGTGTCGACCAGTTTCTCTTCACACTTGACACCTTTGTGAGCCTTTTTGAGAGAAATGACTCGACTGCGAGTGTATGTTGTTTCATCACAAGGCCCATAGGCAGTTTTATAATCATAACGACATCCTGGAACTAAAGGTTTGGGTTTTTGTGCAGCAATGCTATCTTTTAACTTGCAAAAGTGAAATGTCAACCAACCCAAACAGAAACTGTGAAAATAATGCATATTGAATGTGTACTTTCTGTACACTGTACAGACAGGTTGCAATAAACATTCCAAAACAAAAGTTGGTAACTTATAGTATTCATTTCATCACATAGATCGATAATAATTGGTAACAACCCATCAACAAATATATTTTGGTATGTCGGTAAAGAAATATTTCAAAATAAATTTCGAACATAAATTTTGATGAATTGTCTTGCAGCCATTTGACTTCACCTTTAGAATTGGCTATCATCTGACACATTCTAGTTGGGTTGGTGTCATGTTCCACATATATGATGATGAACAACAAAGGCTTAGCAACTTTTTCTTGGTTTCCAGATTCATCCAATCAAATGACAGAATAATGCAAAAGTGCGAGCAATGATATTAACAAAAAGCGTAACTTTAAGGGACACATCAACAGACCAAGAAAAAATCGGGCTTTGTAACGCAAAAGCAGCAAACAGCTTAGCGACAAGATTGCATGCAATGCAGTCTGACCTTTTTTGCATTTGCGCGTTATAGTCTTTACGGGTGCGCATCGCGCACTGCCAGTCTTGAGGTTCATGGTGCGGGTTTGCAGACTGGTCGCTTCATTACATTCACTCCAGTCATTTTTCTCGTACTTGCATTTCTCTCCTGCAACTGCAATGTGCAACATTTGCCTATTGTAGCAATCCAGGACAATGAAGGGGTGGAGGGGGACTCCAGGTGAGGTGAGGTGAAATTGGGTTTATCGTCCCGTCCAAGCCAAGATTATTGCACTTATATAGCGACGTGCATGCATGTGTGTGTGTGTGTGTGTGTGGCTGCTTGTACTAGACCAGACTGATGCGGATTTATAGTGCTAGCTCAATCAGATACCATGCCGCAATTTAACATGAATACCCCACTCGGACACAGTATACTGACTCCGAGCCGACCAGTACTTGTTTTAGCCCCTTAATGCCGAGCGCCAGACAGGGTAACAACAAGTACCATCTTTTAACGTCTTTTGGTATGACGCGGCTGGGAATCAAACTCGGGACCTTCCGCTCTCCAGGCGGACGCTCTACCACTAGACCACGGGGGGACTCCAGGATTAGATCTTGTCGATGATGCCTTACTGGTGGATAGTTTTGAGATAAAAATTCCATTTTAGTTCAATGGATCGGCGTTTAGCCATGCTCTGATCTGACTCAGGGTCCGTTTTCAGCTGTTGTATGAACTGATAGTGTAGGTCTCTAGTTGAGTGTCCCACAGAGTTGAAATGTTTGGCGCCGGGTTTGTCCCTTTGGTGGTTGATGTCGGCCAAGTGTTCTTGGAGTCTGATGCAGAAGTGTTGTTTTGTTTCTCCTACGTATTGTTTCACTCTGATGAGAGCCGTCCAGCCCGAAACTAGTCACCAATACCAGAGATTACACTTGGGTTCTTATTCTAGCAATCCCTTTGACACTAACAATGTGAGTGAAAGGGTTGAGTTCAAAGCCTCATTGAACAGTAATCAAGCATGTCATGGCGCCGTGTCACTTTAACGTGAGAGGAAAACCCACAGTGACTAAGGCTGTAAACTTTCACTTGGTGAAACTAATGAGAACAAGCATGGCGCCGACTTGCAAGGATAATAAATTGGTAAAATGATTGACCAGCACATCTTGGCTTTTATGGAGATGGCATGTTCCTCACCACATTTAACTTCAGCGCCCTGAATCATTGGCCCACCCATGCGCTGGGATGGCAGAGACACATAGCTTGAACACAATGGTGAAAATGGCAGTAAATTATGCATTCGGACACAACGAGTTGATTGTCTTTTGTCAGGAATGATGAAACATAAAAAAGTAGTATTTTCAGAGACTATAAACTTTCAAATATTTTCACAAGGCATGTTGTTAAGTCTTCGCATATACCAGTGCAGTGGGTTTTATTCCTTCTTTCTGAACTTTTGGAAAGAGTTTATTACACATTTCATAAAGTAGTTTTCACAAGGCTCTTGTTAGGCTACAACTCTCGCAACTTGCATGTTAAAGCAAGTCTTCTTGCACGACTCCATTACTCCTACAAAACTTCATTGCTCATAAAAAAAAACACACCTGGAAAACCAAAGTTATGCTGCTTATAGTTATTGAAAATCACAGCCAGATTGAAATACCTACCACAGATTCTGGTCTTGACCTTTTTCTGAGGACACGTCTTGTCTGATCCTTCCTTTATGATCTTGGTCGCGGTCTGTTTGCCGTTTTCACATTCGGACCATTTATCCTGCCTGTTATACTTGCATTCTACAACAGAACAACGCATCATTCTACAACAACAGAACAACGCATCATTCTCCAACAACAGAACAACGCATCATTCTACAACAACAGAGCAACGCATCATATTCAACAACAGAGCAACGCATCATTCTACTTCAACAGAGCAACGCATCATATTCAACAACAGAGCAACGCATCATTCAGATTCAGGATAAGGTTTGGACACAAAAGCTACAAAATCAGATGGCCCATATACAGTAAAAGGCAGCACATGAGTGAGTGAGTTGGGTGTAACGCTACTTTGTAACTTTGTAACTTTGTAACAGTGTAACCATATGGTTCTAGATCATTCTTGTCATTAAACAATATATCACGTGACTAACCACGGGTCCAGGTCGTCCTGTGGGTACTCGGGTCCGTCTCAGTACCCAACCAACACGAGTACCCAAGTTACCCGTCCCAGCCCAAGCATAAGCTTTAGCAATTTTGAAATTACTCCCATGAAAGCAAGCATCTTATGTTAATTTCATAAAAAGGAATAATGCTAAGGCACTGTTGCTTACCAAGGTCCGCCCTAAGACGGTGAGCTGAATGTTACACCTGGTAAAATCTTTAGCCATTAAGTAAGAAAAGTGTGGGTGTTGCGGCTGTTTCCTATATATGTCACTGTTATCTTTCAGGTGTTTCCTATATATCACCGTCATATTTCCAGGGTTTGGTATGTGTCTTTGTCATATTTCAACTGTTTCGTATATATCATCGTCATATTCCACCTCTTCCTATATTTCATTGTCATATTTCCACTGTTTCCTATATATCATTATTATGTTTCCACTGTTCCCTCTATATCATCATCATATTCCACCTCTTCCTATATTTCATTGTCATATTTCAACTGTTTCGTATATATCATTGTCATATTTCAACTGTTTCGTATATATCATTGTCATATTTCAACCGTTTCGTATATTATCATATTTCAACTGTTTCGTATATATCATTGTCATTTATCATCCAAAACTGGCTCCCACAGGAGATATCACTTGGGTGAGATCAAGTGATATCTACATTGTCGATATCGCTGCAATGAAATAGCATCACAATTCTTTGCAGACCATTGTGACATCATTGGTTACCATGATGTCACAATCAAAGGGCATCCATCACTAATGGCTCTGCTACAGAAGCTGTTAGCAGTACTTTTTACACTTAAGACACTGCTTATTACTATCTACAAAATGAAAAAGTTGGAAGAATGATGTTGGATGATATATACGCAAAACAACAATCATTTTTACTTGCCTTTCGCGGCAATCCATCGGTCTGTCCACTAGAGTAAATGCCCTTTGTCAAAGGGAAGCTATTCTAACCCCAGTCTCCATGCGAAAAAAAATATCCGACACTACCCAAAAGTGCTACTGCACAACCCTGGTTATGGTTATCATTATTTTGAAGATGTATAGTAAAACCTGCAATTAAAATAACACGATATCAGAATATATTATTCGTAGTAAAACTGCAGTTTAAGATACTGGGTTTTTTTCCCGTCATATTATTGGTTATATTTTAACGTAATCACCGGTAGATTGGGAGAAAATATGTATACAGCTGATTGCAATTTCCGCCTTAGTATACGAGACAGTACACATATAATTTTTATCCCTGCATATGAAACAATGCCTAGCATAACAATAAATACAATCAAAATGGTAAATAATCATGTCTAGTGGAATGATATAGTACTAAACACAATTTTGTTCAGTGTATGTGTGACTTCATGTTTACACTGACAGCCAAACATCAGACATCTGTCATGAAGTAGTTCCAAAAAAGGAGAGGTGACAAGAGCGTATGTATACTTACATTGTTCTACAGTGACATCTTTTGTAGTTTGTTTACAACAAATATATTCAAATAATATATCATTATTATATGAGAACGGTCTGTTAAGATCTACCACGGAAAGTCAGTCACAATGACAATGCATTGCAATACATTTACATTAAAAACTCAAAATGGCCGACACGATCAATGGGAGAGAAATTCTGTCACTAGGATGAGTCGAAGCGAGGATATTTCAATGAACAGTTCTTCGTTTTGTTCACTAGGATGGGTCGTAGCAAAGATATTTGTATCTGTCTGCCTGCAGTCGAAACCCTGACAGTTTCAATGAGCATTTCTTCATTTCGTGTACTAGGATGAGTTGAAGTGAGGATATTTCAATGAGCAGTTCTTCATTACGTGTACTAGGATGGGTCGTAGTGAGGATATTTCGATAAGCAGTTCTTCATTTATAATAGGATGAGTCGAAGCGAGGATATTTCAACGAGCAGTTCTTCATTTCGTGTACTAGGATGGGTCGTAGCGAGGATATTTCGATGAGTGTGCAGACAGATCAACTCGACACCACGATAGTTTCGATGTGACATTTCATGCAGTCGAACTCTGCAGACTTTTCTTAATCTAAGCTAAAAAGCTGGGTTTAAGATTAAAGGGTCAGAAACAACGCTTCTGTATGTAGGGTTTTCCAGGGGTTTTCCAGGGGTTTTCCCAGGAGTATGGAAATAGTCCATCAGTGTGTACATCACTTCAAGAATACAGTCTCGTGAAAAACGTATGAACGTCAAATTGTGTCGTACATCTGTTTAGGAATGTTAGTTTTACGATCATGTGACTGGCCTCTGGTCCTATGGAAAACTGTATTTAGCGTAAACTTCACATTAAAAAATTATTAATATATAAACCTCTATAGTTAATCTGTCATGGCACGACAGATTAGCTATACTAATATGAGAGAATTGGGTGTTCTTTAACTTCTTTTGAGTAATAAATATATCAGTCAAGGCAAACAGCTGTGAAATGAAGGGAGTAATTGTTCATATTTTGGGGGAAGAAGGAGAACTGGCCCATCCTAGTATCTCCCTTTTTCATCTACAATGTGTTCTATGGGCGGTCTCGCCAATTTAACTTCACTAGACCATATCGGCCCAGTTTTATTAAAACCATGACCCAACTTCACTTAGAAGCAAATACAAGGCTGACAGATTTGTAGAACAGCAGGTTTCCATGCTGGGATAGGCAACATGCAGAGAACATAACTAGTCTCTGATTCATGCTGTAGTGGATGTTTATGTAAGAGAGGAAGAATTGGTTAGAAAATGTGTAGTCCAAGATTTTCACCTAGAATTGGTCTTCAGCAACCCACGCTTGTTGAAGTGAGTGAGTTAAATTTTAAGTCACATCAGCAATATTTCAGCGATATCGTGACTATCAATTGTTAAACATAATACATATATTGAAACTTATATAAAAACCTGTCAACAAAGGACAGTAAAATAACTAGATTTATCACAGAAAAAGATATAAAACTAGTACGGAATTATAAAAGAGAATAGCACTATACATAACGATACAAGATAAAAACGGGCTATAGATTGCCAGCAACTGAAGGTAGACCACCATACTGGGGACATGCATGTTGTGAAAAGCATGTTGTAATAGGCCACTAACGGGATCTTATAACATACTAACGGACATAGCTAACTCACTTTGTGGTCCTGGGTGTACTCTTTTAACGACAATGTTTATGTTTAATCTGTTAATCTCTGAGCTGCTACCGTGTCTTCAATCAGCCTATGAAAATATCCGCAGCCACACGTGGCTGTTCAAAGCGGCAATTGACAAACAATTGACAGCAAGTGATAAACTGGGTTGAGAACTGACACCTTGTCCCAAATTAGCATTAGAAGTTGGCACTAAGCCAAACTGCCCAATGGTAAAGGTATCATAAGGACTAGTAGAAATTTTCCATTTTTAAGGGTTTTGCTATATGTTATCATTCTAAGGACTAGTGGATGAAAACTGTTAGTTTCTAACCCTGCAAATATACACCCACAATTAACTACCGGTATAGCAAAACAGGTATCAGGCATTGATATATAGCTGAGCGACCCACAGAAGAGAGCACATATACAAGGCACACTGCTGTTATTTATCGAGTAACTGAATGTGGATACGTGAGTTGATCTAAGATGTCTGACAGTTGAAATGCTTATAAAAAATTATGGTTAAATTGACATAAAGTAATTGGTCCCTTTGAGTTTGTTATAACTGTAGTTTACTATATAAAGATCATCTTCCCGAGGCAAGTGAGTTAACTGACTATAAAAGTCCAGTTTCCACCCTTGCCGAACTAGGCTGGTATTATGGAGTTACATTTTGGCTGGACTAACGGGTCTATGCATAGTCCAATCAAAATCGCGCACCGAAATCGAAATCTGGTTCATAAACTGTCGTGCAGAGTTCGATCGGATTTGCAAAGCATATGCATCACCAATTCGTTGTCAGCAGATATTTTCCATATCCTTTCATGTTTTTAATCAAAGTGCTCACGTGATTTGATGCATTTCGCGATGTAAGACACGTTTTCTCACAATATAGATCTTGATTATTGGTAAGATCGTCCTGACTGGGTGCCACCTTTTTGTGTGAAGCAAACGCAAGTGATACGAGAGGTGGAATCTGATTGGTCCATAGGTGAGGCTTAGAAGGGACATAATTGGTAATAGCCACTGGTGGCGCAACGATCGAGCCCAGTAATTGCAGCCTAGTTCGACAAGGGTGGAAACTGGACTTTTAAAGTCAGTTAACTCCCTTGCCTCGGGAAGATGTATCAAGATAGTACCCAGCTCTCACAATTACTATAGTCTGCAATGTCAGACACTAATCCAAAGCCTGAGTCGAGGAAACTTCAGTTCGGTTTAGTAATCTTTGCAAATAATAGACTGTACTATAACATTAAAATGAACACAAAATTACGAAAAAAGAAACATGTTCAGGCCAGTGGACTCAGACTGTTACTACAATGACAATGCTGATCATAATGTGATATGTTCACGAAAGTCATGTGATGTCATGGCCCAGTTGTCTTAGGCACCACATTTTGCTGTGCAGCATTGCATCCCTGAGGCATAACGGGAACCTATGATCATGATGATAGTGGGTTAAAATCCCATATTTGACGTAAGTATGTCCCTCCCACATCAAGGTGACACACATGATGCGTGGCTCACTAGTACCCCTGACCCGCCTAGTGTCAGTAGTTTCAAATTAAACAAGCATGAAATATTCACATCCCCCCCCAATATGACATGTCTGGTGTGTGCAATGCATTAGCTCCTGTGAACTATGTTCACTGGGGCTTTTTGTAAAGAAATATAGTACGTTTTTCAAGATCTGCTCCGGAAACGAGGACTACCTCCATTTTCAGTCTAAATCAAAGTCGGTGCCAAGGAAACTAAAAAAATATTGTTTTTAAACATGCCAAACTATCAAAAGGCACCAGTTCACCACTAGACCTATCTATGTGCCCAGTATGACGAAGAAATATGGTACGGTTTTCAAGTTCTGCTCCGGAAACGAGGACTACTGCCATTTTCAGTCTTAATCAAAGTCGTTGCCAAGGAAACTCGAAAAATAACTTTTTTTTAAATCCCAAACTATCAAAAGGCACCAGTTCACCACTAGATCTATCTATGTGCCAAGTTTGGTGAAGAAATACGGCACGTTTTTCAAGATCTGCTCCGGAAACGAGGACTACCTCCATTTTCAGTCTAAATCAAAGTCGGTGCCATGGAAACTAAAAAAATATTGTTTTTAAACATGCCAAACTATCAAAAGGCACCAGTTCACCACTAGACCTATCTATGTGCCCAGTATGACGAAGAAATATGGTACGGTTTTCAAGTTCTGCTCCGGAAACGAGGACTACTGCCATTTTCAGTCTTAATCAAAGTCGTTGCCATGGAAACTCGAAAAATAACTTTTTTTTAAATCCCAAACTATCAAAAGGCACCAGTTCATCACTAGATCTATCTATGTGCCAAGTTTGGTGAAGAAATATGGTACGGTTTTCAAGATCTGCTCCGGAAACGAGGACTACCTCCATTTTCAGTCTAAATCAAAGTCGGTGCCAAGGAAACTAAAAAAATATTGTTTTTAAACATGCCAAACTATCAAAAGGCACCAGTTCACCACTAGACCTATCTATGTGCCCAGTATGACGAAGAAATATGGTACGGTTTTCAAGTTCTGCTCCGGAAACGAGGACTACTGCCATTTTCAGTCTTAAACAAAGTCGTTGCCAAGGAAACTCGAAAAAATAACTTTTTTTTAAATCCCAAACTATCAAAAGGCACCAGTTCACCACTAGATCTATCTATGTGCCAAGTTTGGTGAAGAAATACGGCACGTTTTTCAAGATCTGCTCCGGAAACGAGGACTACCTCCATTTTCAGTCTAAATCAAAGTCGGTGCCATGGAAACTAAAAAAATAACTTTTTTTAAAATCCCAAACTATCAAAAGGCACCAGTTCACCACTAGATCTATCTATGTGCCAAGTTTGGAGAAGAAATATGGTACGGTTTTCAAGATCTGCTCCGGAAACGAGGACTACTGCCATTTTCAGTCTAAATCAAAGTCGTTGCCATGGAAACTCGAAAAATAACTTTTTTTTAAATCCCAAACTATCAAAAGGCACCAGTTCATCACTAGATCTATCTATGTGCCAAGTTTGGTGAAGAAATATGGTACGGTTTTCAAGATCTGCTCCGGAAACGAGGACTACCGCCATTTTCAGTCTAAATCAAAGTCACTGCCATGGAAACTAAAAAAATAACTTTTTTTTAAATCCCAAACTATCAAAAGGCACCAGTTCACCACTAGATCTATCTATGTGCCAAGTTTGGTGAAGAAATATGGTACGGTTTTCAAGATCTGCTACGGAAACGAAATGTGACGGAAGGACGAACAGACGGACGGACGGAACCTTGGTATAACTATATACCCCCGACCTATAATAACGTCAAAAGCAGCACCCACCCACTCACTCACTCACTCACAAAACTCATGAGGTAAACTACATACTGCGCGAAGCAGACGTTGCAGCCGCAAGGACGACCACCAGCACCACCAGCGTCGACAAGGTCTTCATCTGTAACAAAAATAACATTACCGGTCAGTGTCTACCAGGCTTGGAAACTTAGGCAGGTCCTGGGTTTCATGAGGTTTCTAAGCAAAAGCTAAAGAATCTTTATCTACAGACCCCCATAATGTGATTGAGTCTTTAACATTCATCATGTTCAGTGGGTCACAATGTTCATCCTGTTTAGTGGGGATTTATTTGCTTATGCTGAAGAATATTCATCCACGAACCCCCTAATCTTGAGGCCCTAGCATTCAAAGGGTCATAATCTCCACAACGTGTGGCCCTGTGAAGATCTGGGATAGAACAGGTCTTCAGCAAACCATGCTTGTCGTAAAAGGCGACTAACAGGATCGGGTGGTCAGGCTCGCTGACTTGGTTGATGCATGTCATCGATCCCAATTGCGTGGATCGATGGTCATGATAATCACTGGATTGTCCGGTCCAGACTCGATTATTTATAGACCGCCGTCATATAGCTGGAATATTGCTGAGTGCACAGTTAAACAACAAATAAACCAACCATCCACAACGTGTGATCTGGATGCATGTTTCTCACTGTACCCCGATGATAGGGATTGTTGCTCATGCTACCAACCAGAATTAATTCCCATTGGCTGCTGTGATATGGCTGAAATATTACTAACAGCAACATAAAACCTAATTTACTTGCAATAACACGAGCATAAACGTGTTTAACATAAGCATGATGACTTCAGCCACTCTGTAAATAACAAACAATCCTTTCTTCATGTTTCCCACACAATCAAAGGCCATCTGAACCATGAAAATAAAAATTGTAATTATTTGGTTAAGTGCCAAACATTTGGAACGAAAGCACAAAGGCGCTCAACCAAACTAGCTGCATGTGTAGCTATGTCCGTAATCATGGTAATTAAAGTGATGTTTGAAGTAACATTCTGGTTCAAAATGTCTAATCACTGTTAATAAGTTCCAACTGTAGAAACTAATTAATGAATTTCATAAACATAATCTTGCTCTATTTATTGGTAGTATGTTTAAAAAACGGAAGTTAATATGCCGACAACCTTATTTGTTTGTCTTTGTAAGATTTTCTTTAAGCTCAACACCAATACAGCATACTGTAGGGAAATAATCTGGAGGTTAAGATTCAAAACTTGCATATTTTTTTTTCAATTTTGCATTTGTATAATGTTGATCATCTACCAAAAGTATTTTTTAAAATTATTTATATTATTTTTCTGTCTGCCCGCTTACTCCCACTCTGAGCATGAAGAGGAGAGACATACCTAATGATAAGGATTGCCCCACAATAATCATGATAATATTGCTCATTAATCTGAGAAGTCACATTTACATCTTTTTTTGCAAACTCTGTTCAAAACAGCCTATATCGTCAAAAATAAACATGATAATGAACAAAAATTATTGTTGTTGCGTGAGACAACAGAAATGGGCTTCATACACATGGGGAATCGAACCCAGGCCTTCAAGCATGACGAGCGAACACTTCAACCACTTGCCTATGCCATGGCCCACTTGTCAGACAGAAGGCAATCAGTTGTAGAGGAGTGTGTGTGTGAGAATGGTTTTACGCCGCTTTTAGCAATATTCCAGCAATATCAGGGCGGGGGACACCAGAAATGGGCTTCACACATTGTACCCATGTTGGGAATCGAACCTGGGTCTTCAGCGTGACGAGCGAACACCTTAACCACTAGGCTACCCGACCGCCCAAGCTGAAGAGGAAGGAAGAAAGAAGCCCTATCATGCTATAGGAGAAATATGGTTTTGGGTACCCAGAATTTCAGACCTTTTTATCTGTAATATAATGTAAAATAAATTACTGTGATTTATATACTCAAAGGTAAACTTAATGGTGATCTGTTTTATGGTATACAATAAGCAGGGTAAAATATAATGTGGCAGCTCACACTGCACTCCTACAAACAGGGTGATGAAAAGGTGCAGAGTGCCTCTGGGTTATTTGTCTGGTGTGCTGATGTTTTGGCTAGATCTGCCTTGACACATAAATTGTTTGAAATGCTAAATGTCAACACAGTGTCGAGTGTGCCATGCAGGCCGTGTTAACTGTCTGGTCATGTGAATGATGACAATCCATTTGATGTTGACGATAGCCCTATTATCGTCCCAAAATTCCCCATAATTCCATAATACACGAGTTGTTTTCGTAATGCTAGGTCATGTCATCATAAGCATACTAAATAATGTTTCAGGCATAAGGAGCAAACTCCACTGAGTGTGTCAATTGCCCTGTTAGTCTGAAGTTTCTAATACAGAGCACCAGATAACTTTTTGAGTTTTTACTCTTGGGTTTCTATTTGTATTGGGTTGTTACATTTTTCATTGGGTAACCAATATTTTTTCGCTCATCCATTCATCACTCTATTGGTTTTTTCCCCGAAATAAGTGAACATTTAAAGATTTACAAAAGAAAGAAATAATGCTTTAGATGAATATAACAGTTCTAAATATATAGCCTTGACTCAGAAAGTGAAATTAGCTCATAATTGTGTTTCGGAAATTAGCTCTGTTGCACACATGCTGAAAAAACTTCACTGAGTATTTATGCCTGCTGTTTTTATACATTTGATTTTTTCATCTAATGCATGAGTTTCTGTACGCAAGATAACTGAAAGTAATTGGGTTTTGAATAATTTTTGGGAGTATTTTACGCAAATAGGCAACTTATCTGTAGCTCTGCTAACATTCAGGATTTAAGGCAATTCATTATTTTATATAAATGAAATAATCTACAGATTTTGACATATCCTAGCCCACAAGACAAATGCCAGCAAACTAGGAGTAGGATGAGTATATTAACTCATTGAAGTTGGATTAGCTACTGAAAATAACAAACTGTATCCTTTCAAGAGACTCCCCCTTGACAAATAGACACGTAGACACCACTGGTTCATGCCCGGTGTTCGACAATAAAACTGGTCTGTTGGTCAGACACTAACATAGTTTTTAAAGTTTTAGTAAACTTAAATATATTGTTGTCCAGTGGTCTGGTGTTATTTTTGGTGTGAAACAAAGTAATACATTTGCACTAGGGCTGGGACAAGTCCAAGTTTACTACCCAGGTACCCGACACCCTATTACTCGATCCTACCCGGGTACCCGCTGTTGTTCTCAAGAGATGGGAACAAAATGGCAAAAATTATTCAGATACATGTATGAAACAATCAGATGATGCGTACTGAAGCCTTATCATTACTTAAACATAAAAAGAGTGAAAAGGAATGAGTGCATCGCCAGAAAGAAAGGAAATCATTAGCGACTTGAACTGTAACCACAGAGCTATAGTAGTTGGTTTGTTGTTTAACGCCTCACTCAGCAATATTCCAGCTATATGACGGCAGTCTGTAAATAATCAAGTCTGGACCAGACAATCCAGTGATTGACATTATGAGCATCGATCCACGTAATTGGGATCGATGACATGCATCAACCAAGTCAGCGAGCCTGACCACCCGATCCCGTTAGTCGCCTTTAACGACAAGCAAAGTCACCTTTTACGGCAAGCATGGGTTGCTGAAGACCTATTCTACCCCGGAATCTTCACGGGTCCAGAGCTATAGTGAGTTTTTGTCATTGAACAATATATCACATGACTAACCAAGGCTCCGGGTAGTACAGCGGGTACCCGTGTTCACTCAGTACCCACCCGACCCGAGTACCCAAGTTACCCGTCCCAGCCCTAATTTGTACGACTTTGGAAAACCAGAAGCTTCAACAACCCTGCGTGGTACTGTGTTTACCTCCTTGACTGGTGTCTCTTGCTTATTATGCAAACTCACTTGAATGTGTCATCTAATTTCAGCGTGAGGTACTGGTTCTATGACTAATGGATGTGCTACGTCACTACCTGGGAAGGGGCGGTCGGGTAGCCTAGTGGTTAAAGCGTTCGCTCTTCACGCCGAAGACCCGGGTTTCGATTCCCGACATGGGTACAATGTGTGAAGCCCATTTCTGGTGTCCCCCGCCGTGATATTGCTGGAATATTGCTAAAAGCGGCGTAAAACCATACTCACTCACTCACTACCCGGGAAAAGATGTAAAGTTGACCTATTGGAAGCAAATATACCTCTGAAGTTAACCAGCTTATTATTTATAACTGTAATTTGCTACACATTGAGCTTAAGAATTAGAGTGAACGAGTGAGTGAGTTGGGTTTAAGGCCGCTTTTAACAGTATTCCAGTCATATCACTGAAGTGATGCAGGTCTCAGATGTTTACCACTTTGGTGAAACCCACGAGCACGGGTAGGGTGCTGACAAACCTAGAAACATAATAGGGGCGAACCGGATTTCGAACCCACAACCATAGGTTTCTGGCATGCCAAAGGGACACAACTCTGCACAGCGAATCACGGATCTCCAACTAGTAGACAGCTCCTTTCAGATTAGTAGCTTATGTAACATAACCAGATAGTGGGAGAAAACAACTAGTCTCAGACCAAGGGACTAGTGGTTGTCTATTCCATGATAGATGTCATGTGTGCAATAAAGAAATGGGAAATATTACTCAAATTGTTTAAAAGTGATACTTTGTAGTTGAATTTATGAGTGTCCAATGATCATTATTCAGTTTTAAACAAAGTCAAAGCGATAGAAACTAACTGTTTTTGTGTACTAGTCCTTTAATGATAATAACATATAGCAGAAACCCTTAAAAAAGTGCCAATTTCTACTAGTCCTTATGATACTTTAACTATTGGGCAATTTGGCAAGGACTATAGGACTAGTGCCAATTTTCTAACTCAGTGAAATTATATGAAAGTGTTTAGTTTAAGGACTACCAGTATCATGTCATACTCAACCACATGCTCCAAGTTGAGGTCTGTGAGGAACTTGCAACACTGTCTGAGTAATTAGGGTGGGTAATAAATAACTGCTAAGGTGTTCTACATAGGAAAATCCTTGTAAACTGACAATTACCGTATCCGACGTAATAGGCGCCCACAGCGATATTTGCTAATATATTGGCTAGTGAACAATCCC